AGAGTTGTCGTGGGGTTTAGGTTCTCGTGGGAATTTGGATGCCATAGGGGGATGAGTTGTCACACCACAGCCATTAATAATAGATCTACCAATAAAAAAGAAGACTGCATTGATTTTTTTAACTATATTGCGCCTCCTGTCCTATCGCCCACGTGCATACTTAGCAGTTCAACACTCACACATCAATGGCAGGTTGTTCTCTTTATAGTCTTGCTTCGTAATGTAACTGATACAGTGCATGTCAACAAGGACAGGTTGCTTAATGCAGTGGCGGATTCAGTTTCTGTTCACTGGGTGGAAGGAGTTAACGTACCAAATGTGCTCACTGACCCCCGGGATAGCTTGCAAACGTCTTATCTCGAATTCATCTGTTTTTATTTTTCATATACCAAGACAGAGAAGATTAATGCGCGTAAGTAAAGTAGGTTGTCAGGTTCATCACCATCAAGGGGGGGGGAGCATTTCTTCTTCATCCCCCATAGGATAGGCCAGTGTGCTTTGGCATAAATGCGCAACACGCAACCATGACAGGGGGTAAGGGGCAAATAGGGAACCTTCTGAGAACCTCAAGTGCTACGTCTGAGTCGTGTCATGCACGAGGGTGGTGACGCACCCATGGAGAGCCACAAGGTCACGGGGAGGCAGCCACATGATGCAACAAAGAAAAGAAAAACAGCATTGTGAAGCACTTTACTTCATAACGCGGCCAAGTCTCCAGATGAACCTACTTGGCTGACTTAACTAAAAACACAATCATACAAAGACATCAACATTACAGTGAAAATTTACCTTAGGTGGATATGTTCTCTTAGCAACTAACTATTCGGAGAACATTTTAGCGTAGAAAAACCTTGGAAATATTTTCTACGTTAATTCCGTATAAATTGTGCTAAAGCAATATTTCCTCATTCTTAATAAGTTTACGTAGTATTATACTAGAGGAAAGCTCTCCATTTGATATTCAGCTCTTCACCTGTTATAAAAGCCCCAGTCTTTCCCCAGAACAGCAAAGCTTTTTATTCTAGACGTGATATTATAAATAATTAATTTCCCGAAAGAGTTAATCTCAACTAAACATATGAGCAACGTACAGACTTGGGACATAACGATCTTTTTACCGTAAGTACTTTCTTCTTTAGAGAGGTTTGTCCTGGCGTTGACATATCGCGCGTTAAGAGGTTACGTTACTTTTCTTCTTTTTTTTTAACCTCTTCACCAAAAGATCGTCTCGTTAGCCGCTTGTCCGATCGGTCACGTCTCTGTTACACACTGTTGGCAAGTACTGGGCATGCACTGGCTCCTGAATGTACCTGAACCCGCTCCAGTGTTGGTCAAGTCTTGTCTTGAAAGAGCTCACACTCGGTGCCGTCACAACACTTTCTGGTAGATTGTTCCAAGAGTTTACAACCCTCACTCCGAAAAAGTTTGCCCTCACAGTTTTCTGGACTTGCCGCTCTGTTTCCCTCAGTCTAGTATGTGCTACACTAGGCACGTAGTACTCGATAGACAAGCGAAGGTTAGAATTTTGTTACATTTGCGAGATAAAAAGTGGAATGTTTTGAGTGCGTAACGACGTGTACGCTGGTGTGTGTGTGTGTGTGTGTGTTGTAACTTTGCGGCAGGAAACTGGTGAATTAAGTGAACTTCTGTCTATAAATACCATGAACTAGACTTTAAAATCTTGGCATCACACACACACACACACAGGTTGTAGATTCCACGAAGCTCCTCGGCGTCACCATAGACAACAAACTAAATTGGAAACCACACGTCAGTGAAGTTGTCAAATCCTCCAGTTTCCGTCTCCACCTCCTCCGCCGACTCAAGTCCCTCGGAGTTCCTGCACCCGAGCTCCTCAGTGTTTACACAACATCATACTTCCCAAGCTCACCTATGCCTCCCCTACTTGGTCTTCCTCCCTAAATGTCACACAACGTAAACACCTAGAAAAAGTGCAAAAGAGGGCATGCAAGATTATTCTCTCCCCTTCCTACTCCACATATCAAGAAGCGCTCAACACACTGACCCTTTCGACTCTCACTGACCATCACCACGACCTCATCTGCAAATTTGGTAAGAAGCTTCTACACCATCCTCGACACCGGCTCCTACTACCACCTGAGATCCCTAGCCCGAGAATTGCTGTTCGACACCACAACCGCATCCAGCCCATAAGTGCACGAACTGATCGCTATAAGAACAGCCCAGTCCCAACCATTGTAAAAATTATCAATAACTTGTAATAAACCAGTGTATTCACTCCCAGTAAATACTACTTCTTGTACTGTCACTATGTTGAAATGCACTGTAGTTTGAGCTTTTCCCCATCTAGTTATTATATATCTTATTTGTATCACTTATGTTACTTGTATATTATTTGTAATTGGAAACCCATTCCCCAAATATGTAACTGTATATTTTCAGCCTTCTGGCTGCCAAGCGCTTTCAATAAACCGTTAATTATTATTATTATTAATTATTATTATTAGAATCAAGGTAAATTAAAATTAAGATGTAGAGAAGAGCCTAATTAAAATCCCGGTTTAAACGGCTGACAAAAAAAAAAGTTTGCATAGTATATGCACTGCCGAAGCAAGTTTTCATAAACATGGGAAACCGTACTCGGGGAAAAAACTTCCTTGCGAGTCAAAATACATTTTCAGCAAGTGCGGAAAAGCGGAAATTGGGGTTGACTAACCTTTTGTTATCATTGTCGTAATTTTTGTCACCATTATGTCGACGTCATCTTTACTGAACAGTGACATGCTCGCATTATAAAACAGTAATTCTTTAATATCTGAAGAACTTGCTAAACCTTTTAATAACAATTCCCTTTGGCGGATGATTTAATATTTTTTGCGACTAACTCAACTCGTTAAATACACTTTTATAAATCTAAGAACAGAATCACTGAAACCTTTTTGAAACTAGACAAACTTGAATGGAACTAAAAACATCGATTGTGCTGACTTTAGCTGTAAGTCAGTGTTGGTGTTTATACAGTACTGTATATCAATCATATATATATATATATATATATATATATATATATATATATATATATATATATATATATATAATTAATTAAAAGGTATAGTTTACCGAAACAGTAATGCACAGGCCTTCATTTTTTTAAATGGCTTCTTATTCAGGAGAACCTTATAAATAAAAGAGTGACAACGTGTGGCAATACGAGCCACGCAACTGCGGAACGAGGAAGATCACGTGACTGGTGGCATCACGTGACTCGCGCGTCCAGGGAGTTTGCTGCTTATTGGAACTACGAGAAAGTTCCAGTAAATCACTCTCACAATCAGATCTATCAGTCCAAGTGCAAGTACAGATAATATATATATATATATATATATATATATATATATATATATATATATATATATATATATATATATATATATATATATATATATATATATATATATATATAAACTCCCACTAAAACCAAATAAAAAAAGGTTCAAGCGTTTTTAGAAAGCAAAAAGCTATTTAGTACAGAACACATAGTGGGCGCTTAGTGTATGGTTATTGAGAAGTTTAGATAGATAAAAGTGTGGTAAAAATAGGTGTGAGCACTAGATTAATAATAAGATTATGAACGGTAAGGGAACTATACACGGAATCAATCTTTCAAACGTTATGTATCTTTGGGTACGTTCGTTGGCAATACGTAGGTCTACATACATACATACATACATACTAGCGGGCGCATGTACGCTCACTGGCACGCACTCGCGTATACAGTTATACCAAAGACCATCTTTAGATGGTTTTTGGTTATACATACTCATTCATGCCGTTCCAGTTCTTCCCAAAAGATAGCCGAGAGAATAAATAAAATAATCAGCAATATATACATTATTTAAAAAGAAATAAAATCAAAATGTTTAATAATTTTCCTATCTGATGTGAAATAAATGTATCTAGGCATAATATACTCAAGTGTTATTTTGATGGTTGATAATAAGGTGCACCACTGTGTATGGCCTTTATTTTACGAACCTTCCAGAATCTTACTGGGGTGGGGATGACTTATGTCACTTCATCCCTTTGAGATGTATTAATGTTTTTTGTATCTCAATAAACGTATCAATTCCAGAATCTTAACCCACTAGCAGACTGTTAATTTTATATGCACTGATGAGAGCGAACAAAAATTAAATATTAGCTCGTTTTCAAATTTGCAGTGAAAGAAACATAATTTGCAAGATAAGAAACATGCGACATAGTCATCATAATCTTTTGAGGAAAGTGATAATAAAACTATACATAAATTATGGAGACAGGAAAATCCCACAGTAAGGATACAGTACTTGCATTAGGTACTGAATTATTTATATTGTCTAAAGAATTCTGTACTTTGCTTATAATAGATGCTTAGTCTGTGTACTTATTTGTATTCCCTCCTCCACGCCTAGAATTGTTTCAGACGTAATTATTGTATGGCTGGAACGGAAATTTATCTGAAAAGAAAACAGGAAGCAGAAACGGAGGCCACTCATCTTTTTATCCAATTCCCACACTCTGCTATGAACATCTTAGTATAGTCTCTCGAATACGACCCATAGATGATGAAAATCTATTCTTTTGTGGTAATGACATTTGGTGTCCCAACTTGACCATATTCTACCATTTTCTACGGTCGTCAGTAAGTCATTTTCGAATTGGCTAATGAATATTTAAACCTTTGGCATCAGATTAATAATATAGATAGCACTCCAATTATCCTATTTAACTTTCCGTACATTAAATGTGTTAAAGATAAGTTACATTTCCTAAGCAAGAATTAGGAAACAAGAAAATACGCAGCATGAATAAAGTGAAACCTGGCAGTCTTTGGCTTCAACCCCACTACCTGTGCTGCTGTGCTCAGTCGCTCAGCTGTTCTCCACAACCCTGCCAAAACATTACAAATTACAGAGATCCAGCAGTGGATCAAGTGAGTACTGTGTCTTAGGAGTGCCAATATCAAGTTTTATATGCTGTTCATAATGAAGGGAAAGGAACTTTCACCAGACCGCGGTCTTAAAACAATACGGAATAGTTCGATTTTTTAGCTGTGCTAAAGCTCACCCTGCTTGGGTGAGCTCCAGCCAAGATCGTCCAGGGAAAGGTGCCAACTTCTTCAAGTTTGCTGATTTTAACATGGTGTGGAGTGCAGTTGCCGTCCCAGAGTGAACGGAAAGGAGTGCGCAATGAAGCAAGTGAGAAAGATTTTGCCCCTTGATGGAAACGAGTGACAATTATGCTTTCAAATGTTATGTCGTGGCATTGGTCTTGTGCTTCTCGTCTTCTGATTGTGCTAAATTATTTACATCAGAAACCAGATAAATTCACCTGTGAACCTAAATTTACTCTGGTTACAAATATAGATTTGTCGACGGCGAGTTGCTTTGGATTTTATTAGTAGAAATATTACCATGTACAGTACAGAGTATTATGAAGTTGGGCCTAACCAGTGTTGTTGATGTTTTTAGATAATGAACTGGCTTGTAATTTTTTTTTTTTTTTATTTAAATGGTGTATACAGAGGCTAAAATACTGAATAGCTTTTTCTTTAATAATCAGTTTTCTGCCAATTAGCTAGTTGCAGTTGGATGCTGATTTCTATATACAGGTAGACTGTCATCTCATCCTTCGTTATTACTTATTTTGAAAACATAGGGAATTAATATCGGTGATTTCTGGTTACATTGGTTGACACTTTTAAGTTAACACTGGATGCACAGAAAGTAAAGCTGGTGAAAGAGCAAGCAAATGGTTAAGGTAAAGGGCTGATAATTGTCCAGTTTAAAGGGGAGGTAATAACATACATAAGAAAATAAGGAGTCTGCAATAGGCCGGTTGGCCTATGCATGGTAGCTCCTGTCGAGAGTTACTACCACTCTCTATCATCCATGAATCTGTCTAGCCTCCTTCTAAAAGTTTCCAGCATTCCAGCACTTACTACAAAGTTGCTAAGCTTGTTCCACTCGTCCACCACCGTATTTGTAAACCAGTTCCTTCCTATCTCCCTCCTAAACCTAAACTTATCCAACTTAAATCCGTTGCTATGAGTCATATCCTGCTCTGATATTATAAGAACTTTATCTATATCGCCTTTATTGATTCATTTCACCCACTTAAATATTTCTATCATATCTCCCCGCACTCTTCGTCTTTCTAGGGAATGCAAGTTTAGTTTCTATAACCTATCTTGATATGGAAGGTTTCTAAGTCCCGGAATTATTTTCGTCATTCTTCACTGCACCGACTCCAGTGAATTGATATCCATTCTATAATAAGGGCACCAGAACTGAACCGCATAATCGAGGTGCGGCCTGACTAGCGCAAGATATAGTTGGAATAAGACCTCTGCACTCTTACTACTTACACTTCTAGATATAAAACCTAATACTCTGTTTGTCTTATTTCGAGCATTAACTCACTGTTTTCGAGGTCGTAGGTCCTGGCTTACAAGTACCCCAAAGTCTCTTTCACAAGTCGACTTCTCTAGGTTGATGTTAAGGCTGTATACATTGACAGTATTTGTTCTTCCAATGTGAAGTATGCTGCACTTGCAAGTGTTGAATTTCATTTGCCATTTTTCTGACCACTCCTGCAGTTTATTTAAATCCTCCTGTAGTGCATTTGCATCCTGCCCTGAATTAATCTGCCGTTCTATTTTGGTGTCATCCGCAAACTTGCTTATGTCACTGCTGATCCCAGTATCTAGATCGTTTATGTAGATTATGAACAAGAGTGGGCCCAGTACTGAACCCTGGGGAACCCCACTGGTTACACAGCCACACTCAGATTTAACACCATCAATGCTGACCCTCTGTGTTCTATCGGTGAGCCATGATTTTGTCCAATTTAAAACTTTCCCCTCGATACCATGAGCCTTAACTTTTCTCAGAAGCCTCTGATGCGGTACTCTGTCGAACGCTTTGCTAAAGTCTAAGTAAATAACATCGTAATTTTCGTCATTATCTACTACCTCGAACACTTTCCTGAAAAACATCAGCAGATTTGTTAGACAAGATTTTCCTTTTGTAAACCCATGTTGAGAGTCGTAGATTAATTTGCTTTTCTCTAAATGTGATCGGATGCTATTTGCTATAATTGATTCAAGAAATTTCCCCACTACTAACGTCAAACTAATTGGCCGGTAATTTGACACTGATGCTCTGTCTCCCTTTTTGAATATGGGTACTACATTTGCCTGTTTCCACAAGTCTGGCACAACTCCCGTGTCTAATGATTTTGTAAATAAATTTACGAGGGGTCCGCTAAACTGTTCCTTACACTCTTTCAAAAATCGAGGGAAAATTTCATCCTGCCCTGGGGATTTTGTCTTCTTTAATTTATTTATCTTCTTAAGAACATCCTCTTTTCTGATAGTGATATTCTTTAATTTCTCTTCTTCGTTTCCCCTAAATATCAGTTCCACCTCTGGAATTTCCTCGTGAATTTCTTCTGTGAAAACTGATGAAAAGTAGCTGCTTAATGCTTTGTTTATTTCCTCACTGTCATAGATCACTTCCCCTCTCCCTGACTTGAACGGCCCCACTTTGTTCTTTGCCTTTGTCCTATATATACCTGGAAAAATCCCTTGGGATTCACCTTGGATTCTCTTGCTATCCTGATTTCGTAGTCCTTCTTTTCCTTCCTTACATTTTTCTTAACATTCCTAGATAGTTCATTATACCTATTTCTGAGCTGCTCCTCCCTCCCTTTAATTTCTTATAAATTCCTTTCTTTATTCCTATGTCATGTTTAAGTTTTCTGGTCATCCACCTTGGCTCATTCTTATTTGACCTAATTTTTCTGTATGGTATATTTTGTTCTTGTGCTTTACGTAGTATACGAGTGAATATATTATAGTCATGATCAATTGTTGTGTCACTTCTGACCTCACCCATTCCTACTGGGGACTGACCTGCCTGTTCCCAGGTGACCTCACCTAGGTACCTTCTTAACCCCTGATAATCCGCCAAATGAAAGTTTGGGACTCTGACCATATTGTCATTGTTTTTCGTGTCCCAAAGGTTCTGTGAAAAGTATTAAGGTTTTTGGAGAGCAGACAACGTCTAGATTAAGCCATTGTAGAAATGGTTATTTTATTTTCCCTGGAGAAAATTTACACCAATGTAATCCAACATCTCAACCCTAACCTAATTTTCAGTTGCAGTTAGGTTTCTATTTTTTTTGTAAACATAGCTTAACATCTCAGTCCTAAGTTAATCATAAATCTCCGTGTAAAGTGTACTTTTTTTGTCATTTATGCCCATAGCAGAAATTTGGGACTTAGAATTAAACACAAATCCTGGACTTGGATGGAGAATCACTTGTCCGTAAACTGAACAGACGCCAAAGGTCTTCTTTACTGTAATCGTTAGGCGGGGTGGTGAAATTTCAGTTATGCACCGGTCTTTCTCTCGGTGTTATTAATATGTTTTTCATAATGTTTAGACAATTCTAAGACCTTTTTGTTTTGTGATATTTCCGCCAGAAATTTAGGATAACCGAGATATTAATTTTTCAATATTATTAGATTTGGTCAGTCACAAGTGTTGCCATTTGTTGTTTGCATTTCACAGAGAAGGTCTGACCACCCCTCGTCCAGTTCTCCTTACCTCCATGTTGGCTTCTTAAGCATCTACAGCGCATGTGCGGGGGGTGTTGTGGGAGTTTCTTATTGGCTATAGCGATAGGAGACTTATAATTGGGCAAGAGTTTTTTGTCTTGGCTAATGAACAATGCGTGGGTGCGTTGGGAGCGGATATATGATTTTTCAGTACCAGAAAAACCAGATATGGCTGAACAGGTGGAAAGAGCTGTGCCAACTTTGTGATAGAGATTATTTTACGTCAATTGCAGAGTTTCATCAGAAAAATAGTGTTAGGGTAGGTTTGGTTTTCTTGGTTGGTATTTTATTTATGTGATTTACAAAATAAAAAAAAATTACATTTTCGTTAAGATTGATGGGTGGGGGGGGAAGGGAGGATATAAAATAATACTATTGATTTCCGGCTGAAATCAATATAAAAAAATTGTTCGAAACTCATCAAATAACATCGGAAAAACATGTTTTTAATATCCAAACAAAGACCGGTGCATAAGTGAAATTTGACCAGCAGGGTTCTTACTCAAGCTTTCTTTGTTTTGTTTTAATGCTTAGAAGGTAAATCCAGTTACAGAGCAAGAAAAATCTTGTCTGCAAACCACAATGGCAGAACCACAAGGGTAAAACTTTAGTTTCGGTCATCCCTATATTTAGATATTCAACCTAACTAACCTAAGCTAACCAAACCACAGAACCCAAGAACTATTAACTAACCTAGCTTCGGTGTATCCCCAACTCGGCCCATTTCCAACTGGGCCCACACATTACTAACTCGGCTCATCTTGCACTCTTCAAACAAATAGCTGACTAGAGGTTCAGGAATGAGTTTGAGATTTGTTTTATGTCTCTTTTGGTTCACTGAAATACGAAGTGTGCGAATGAACCATGTTTCACATATGTAACAAAGGCTTTTCCTGTTTGTTTAATGTTGGTGTTAGAGTACAGGATCAGTCACATTCCGAGTCCTGACCCTGGCTGACCAATGCTTGGTATACATGTCCCACCTGGCACACTTCAAACAAGTAGTTGACTAGAGGTTCAGAATGACATCTAGACCCCATCTGCTTGGAGTGTATTTGAAAGGAGTGTCCGCACAAATAATGACTGAAGGGTGGCATAATCGCCTTAACTTGAATGCAAGAAAAGGACAACTTATCTTCTATCTGTTAATTGAGCTACCCCATATTGAAGCAAAACTAGTGACACTCCAGGTGCGGCTCTTGTTCGACGGTAAAGTGCTACAAAAACAATGGGCCAACTATGGACATCTCCAAAGACAGCTCTTCATACTTTGTGACGAATTCAGAAGTGGACGAAAATCTGCTAAAAATTGGCTACGAGCCGTTTCACATTACGTGACTGTTTATCAGTAATGTTTGTACCTTTATGCTGCTTTTTATCATTGATACCTTGGTACTTTTATCATTCATGTAAAAGTAAATGTGTAAAATGTGTTCATTAACTTAAGTGGTCCGAGTTGGTATTTGATGGTCCGAGTAGGATGTGGGCCGAGTTGGACTGTATACCCTAGCTTCGACCCCCCAAACCCCTCCTTTCTGGTGGGGGTTAAATTCCTAAGATACCCACAAGACCCATTAAAACTAATGAAAAACTGTATTCGACTCTTTACGTAATATGTGACCATAATTACAATACAATATTTTACTGTAGTTTGCTTCACATTTAGTTTTCAATTAAAACTTTTTTCCTTTTTCCCTTGCTATTTGCATTTTATGTAGTAACATACATACTTGTGAAGATACAATCAAATAGTAGGACATGTGTACTCCCTAACTACCAACTGAGGAATATGTTATGTGTAATACATACTGTACAGTATCACTTTATGATTACAGTATTTACACCAGGGAAGCAAAGGGGCTCCCTCTGTCCACCATAGTTAGTCAGTTATTGTGAGTAAATGTACACCAAATTTTTTGCAAGTGTTTTTTTTTTTTAAGATTGTTTGTTTCATAGGTGCATAAATCCGGAGAATGCATAGTACAGTACTGTACATCCTTTGGGTAAAGGTAAAAAAAGGACCTATAATAAGACCTGTCATCATTACTGTGTCCTGGGGTTGATCTCTGACCCAGGTCACATTTAAGATGGGTGTTACAAGGTATCTGGTTTGGTAAAATTTTAGTGTCAGTCATCCCTGTATTTAGCTATCCAAACTATAGTATCACAAAAACTAGTGATGTCCAACAGACATGAAGGTCCAAATCATTCAAAACATCAAAAGCCATTGGAAAAACATAGTTTGGAAATCTAATCTAACCTAACCTAACCTAACTGGATGATCGAAACTAAGGTAATACCTCTGGTTTCACCCTATCATACATAACAGGTTCTCTCTGGGTATGGCACCTTGGCAGTTTAGTTAAGCGTTTGCTTACAGGTATTAATTCGAGCAGATGTACAGTACATATTTCTAAGCCAATACAGGACTGAAGATTATTTTTAATTTCTATGCAGTATCATAAACATGTTTGTACAGGTGTATAATTTAACATGACATTCACAATTAAATCATGGGCCATTGATACTCTTTGGGCATTTCTGTGTTGGCTTGGTAAGTTTGGTTTCAAACTCGTAAAGATTTATTACTTCTGGCACTGTGCTGTAGAACTTGGTAATACAGTATCATTTTCTGTGTGAGGTGAGAATGTGACTCTTAGGTAGGACATTAAATTAAGTTTGATCTTTATTGTCTACTGGGGATGTTTAGTGCATTGTGTACTCATAAGAAAGCAGTAGAACACTGATTAGAAAATACAGTACCTTATACCAGGTATGAAAAATCAGTTGAAGTCAATTTGTTTTCAGTGTTCACAAATTTGTTTATTACAAGTTCATTCTCAGTTTTTTTAAGCTTTGCAAAATTATTCCAATGCTCACTCTAGTTCCAAGAATAGAATTTTGAAACTGAGAAAGAAATCAAAAGCCTATCAAGATGCAGCTTGATGATAGTTAAGCACCCTCAGGATCACACAACCATGTACAGTAATCTCAGATGTTCTGGTTAAATTGTCTGACCTTGAGTTGCCCAGTCATTGTACACTTGGTAAAAAAAAACTACCATACAGGTGGTGTCCGGTGATTTTCGAACTGAACATTCCTGTTGTCTCGCGAGGGTTGGTAGGCCTGAATGCGAGACATTTCGTACTTAATTTGGTTTGCTGAAATTAGCTATTTCATTGATAATATTGAATTAATTTGTTACAATGTGACTGAAGAATGTTAATATATCTAGATAAGTTAAACTGTATGATGTTATATTAAATGTTCAACACACCGTGGACTACAGTAACCATGGAAGTGGATGAGTTGCCACATAGAAATATACAGCTCCTCCCCGACTTACGACGGGGTTAGGGACCCAAATCCAGGTCGTAAGTCGAAAATGCTTAAATAATACATAGAAAATCTAAAATGGGTGTCTCTTTTTCTTCTCGGCACCACAAAACTCTCACTTTTAAGCTTGCCAGCCATTTTAAAGTGAATTACAAACAAGAATTTTGTCTGTGTACTGAAGTTGGGACTCAAAAATACGTAATTTGACAAAATTTTGGTACGACTGAGGCAAGTTGTAAGTGCGGGTGGTCGTAAGTCAGGGAAGGCTGTATTATATGTTTGGCAGAATTAGTGGATATAGTAAATGTATAAGATTATTTTGCAACCGAATTTCGAATCTGTATTTGTATTGCTACTTCACTTTGGGCTAATGCCCGTCTTTCGTACCACCCCACCCAAGGACTGTATACTGGGTAATGACTGAAATATACATAAATTACTCATAGCAGAGCCATAATGTTTTAAATAGCCATCTTGACATTATTATTTAAAAAAATAATTCGGCCATTGACTGTTGGTCAATCGCCGTGGAGGTAAACTTATTAATTGTGGCAATGACTCGGTCCATTGGTTGGATAAGGGAAGTTGTGTTTGGTGGCAGAAACATAATCTCCACAGGCAGGACTGTCCTTAAACTGTCTAGGTGCTGTGGGTGGCCAGCAGCATTATCCAACAGCAAGACAGCTCTGAGTGGGATGTTTTTTTCCTCACAGTACTGTTTTACAGCAGGGTAAAAATAGGAGGTAAACCACCGCTGAAACAATTCCCTCATCACCCAGGCCTTCTTGTTTGCCCACCAAACAACAGATTGGTACTCTTTTGACAAGCTGTTGGAGCTTTCGGGGTCTCGAAGTGGTACACGAGTACGGGCTTGAGTGTAAAATCTCCCGATCCAATACCATCCATCAGAAGTGTCAGCCAGTCTTTTGTTGCTTTGAAGCCAGCTGAATGCCTCTCATCTCGTCAGATGAATTTGCGAGATGGCATTTGTTTCCAGTACAACCCTGTCTCATCCATATTAAAAACAAGCTTTGGTGGGTAAATGCCTGGCTGGATGATCTAAATGTGTCTGAGTAATAATGGTCTGCCTGTTCGTCAGCACTTGTAGATTCGCCTGTGAGACAGATGCTGTGCAGGTTGCTATGTTTAAATTTCTCAAACCAGCTTCGACTGACCGTGAGATTTTCCAATGAAAATCGTTCACCTTCTTACTCTTATAGGTAGGTAAAGAGGCTCCTTGTCTTCTCCATAGTATTAAGCTGGCTTAAGGACATGTGGGACTGGTTCTGGTCTTCCACCCACATGCTGAGTCGGTTCTCCACAATTTCCAGGAGCTTAATCCTTGTGCGGGAAACCTTCATTGCAATCAAAGATGTGGTAGAGTGGCTGGTACTTTTTATCTTCTCACTGTTATCGAATATAGTGGGATTTTAAACATTGTTCTGTAATTACAGTATGCACATAGCATGTGTTCCGACTTAAGAACATCCTCAGGAACGGAACCCGTTCGTAACCTGGGGACCCCCTGTATTGTACTCGATTCTGTTTACTTAGTATAATTACACTGTACATATCATCTTGTTATTCTTATGACTGATAGTCATTTCATTGTCTTCAGAAATATTCCACAATGGTGGACTACTACAAAATTCTGGAGGTGAGTCGAAATGCCTCCGTAGCAGAAATTAAGAAAGCTTACAGACGTTTGGCGCTGAAATGGCATCCAGACAAGAACCCAGACAGCCAGGAAGACGCTACAAAGAAATTCAAGGAAATATCAGAAGCCTATGAGGTGCTCAGTGATGAAAAGAAGAAAAAGGTAAGTTTATTGGCTATTGTGTAAGTTTGGATGTTGAAGAAGTAAGGGTTAATGGGTCACCAGAAGCTTTTTTCTGTTAAATATAAAATTTACTTGACTAAAGGTTAATGCAGTTCTCTATTAAGAATGTGAAAAGTTTTTAATTATTATGGAGATTAAGGATTTACTCTTTATTTTGTGTGGTGGTGTAGGATCTGGGGGTGTGTGGAATAATTTTCCCTGGTGTTTAAGCCTTTTTTTTTTTTTTTTGCTTTTATATTCTTCTCATATTGCTGGTCTGATCTTATTGTCATTTCTTATCAGTCACATGCTGTACTAGGGAACTATAGAAAAGCACTTTGACCATTTGTCTGGCCTAACATTCTGTGCACAAGGATTGTGTGAATAGTTGTTTTTTGTTTTTTTTAGCAGATGTAAGGACAGAAAGGAAATTCTCCAGCTTATATATGCAGTACAGTATACTGTACTGTATATAAATCAGATTTACTATTATTATTTTTATATATATATATATACAGTATATTTTTTTTTTATTATTTTTTTTTTTACTTCATTCAAAATGGTGGGTTGAGGTCCAATTTCTGGCAACATGTGTTTTGTAATGAAGATTATGCGGGTTTTTAGAGGACCCACTTTCAATGGAGATGAAGTGGATCACACTTACAACATGTTTTCAGTATATTGAGTTCCAAATTTGTGCATTATCTTGGGAACAGAATGTTTATTGTCTGCTACGGCTAGCACTTCAAGTTTATCCTTAATGATAAGGTGCTTTGTGCTCTGTGGGGGCCTTAACTGAAAGCACTTGCTTGGGCATTGTTCTTATAATGTGTGTTATTTATATGCACTGAGTAATAGCCACACGTACTGTAGACTGATAACAGCACAGCTGTGTTGTGATGCGGGTGGGACCACACAGTCCATGTTGCATAGTGCTACAACAATAACAATAACCTAAAAATTTTATTTTTTATTTTTTCAATTTCTTAAACGGCTTTTTCCAAGATTCATATCGTTATTCGGACGTGTCGTTACTCAGGTAGTCCAGAACTCAGGATTTTTACTGTACTGTATTTACCTTTTTCTGCTTATCAAAACAGTAAATATTGAAAATGGTCACAGTAAATGTTTGAAGTGGAAACTATTCCCGATACAGTATTTACTGTAGGTAGAACAAGGTACAGTATATAACATTGTAGGTTTACCAATGAACAACTACCTGTACTGTACCGTACAGGTATATTGTTAATTATTGCAGGTGCACAAGGACTTTTTAACGCCATGTATAGTACGGGAACTGTGTTACCTTATTATGTTGTTCTTCATTACTGCACAGTATAGTTACAGGGTATAATTTTTCTCTTCATAATTCACCCACTTAATCATGTTCTTATTTTTTTCTGCAGTAAAAAATAAAATTGGAATATTAATCTCTTATATGGAATGATTGTTAATCCTGTTTACAAAATGACCAGCATCCCACCACCCTGACAGGCCCTCTCATCTCAATCATTTATCCAATATCCATGGGCTGTAAACCACTCCGTTGGGTGATTTAAGTTAGATGATGTGTGTTGGCTCATGCGTTTCTCAAGTCATAAACTTTTTTGGGGGGAAGGAAGGATGTAAATTTATTGAGCTAAAAGACTGTTTTTCATTTCAGATATATGACCAGTTTGGCAAAGAAGGTCTTCAGACTGGTGGAGGTCCTGGACCCACAAGGTCAAGGTCTTCTCGGTCAGCTCGGCATCACTACAGATTTGAAGACGACTTGGATTATAATTTCCCTACATTTACATTCAGAGATCCTGAGGAAGTATTCCGGGAATTCTTTGGGGGCGATCCTTTTGCAGAATTGTTATCTTTTGATCCTTTTGATCCACTGGGGCACAATGCCAACCGCCGCCGTCGACAGGGTAGACAACGAGGAGGCCCTCCACAAGGACCATCAGCACACCACATTGCTAACCACAATTCCATCAGCAGCCACTTCTTCTCTCCTTTCGGCTCACTCTTTGGTGGACCCATGTTCACGCCATTCTCAGGTATTGAAGGAATCGAAGGTGGTGGTGGTGGTGGTTTTACCTCATTCTCATCTCACTCATTTTCTACTTTGGGAGGCCCTGGTATGAAACGTTCATCCACCTCAACCAAATTTGTAAATGGGAAGAAAATAACGACCAAGAAAGTATCTGAAGGTGGCCAAGAAACAATCATGACCTTTGAAAATGATGTACTGAAGTCCAAAACAGTCAATGGTGTACCACAAGCTTTACAGTATTAGCGTAAAAGACATTTATGCAGAACACTGTGAAGATTGTAAAGAAATCATTTACCAGATCTTGATAAAAGCTTGGAAAACTCCAATCTTGATGAAAGATCAGAAAGATACTGATATTGGTGAAAGATTAGAAAGTAATATTGTGAAAGATTGAATAATACTGACTGTTTTCCTGACTGAGCTAACCTTTTGTGTTCTTGTCTTAGTAAGAATGATTTCTTTTTTTCACATGTGGAAATCAGTGTAGGGTAATGAAAGTATATGGAGTGTACATTGTTGTAAGTTATTATTTTCTTCTCGTTATGCAGATATTAAATAACCACAACTACATGTTTTGTAATCAGTAGTTATTGTGTACTGTACAGTTATTTTATCAACCAGTTGTACTTAAAAAAATGGTATAGATATGGGAATATTTACAACTTTGTAAAAAAAATTCCTTGTGAATGAATAAGTAAATATAAATGTCTGATGCTATCATTAGTTTCTTGATAAAAATCGGTTCCTTTTTGTACAGTGCTGTCAACTACTTGGTTCGAGTATTTTGATCTTTATTTTCTGAGAACGTTTAACCCTCCGTGCATATATACAATACTGTATGTAACAAGGAACATGCTAGTTTTGAAAAACTCCATTATAAAAATTTCTTCCCAAGAAATCTTCCCAGCATTTTAAGAATTAACACATAATCCAGATTGCATTGAAATTATATTTTTGCTATCTTCTGGAGTAAGAGATTAATTATTTCTCTAGAATATGATTAACTTGGTTTCTCAAATATTTTTTTTTATCATAATGAGTGTTTTCCACATTTTGTTGAGTTAGCTAAAAATAAAGGGTCTGGTTTGTGGCATCACATGATGTTTGAATTGAGAAACACGGGATTTTTTTTTATGTAGATATGGTTTATGAAGTATGGCATCTTTGTTTTGCACAAATGTGTAACCCATGTTCTCTTGCTCAGGAGGAGCATATTGTTTCAAATGTGATAATTTTGTTCTAAAAGTACTCTGTGAAAGAGAACTAATATTAGTCATATCAGTAGCTTTCTCAGACACAGTAGGCATAAGATTTGACAGTCAGTGTTTAAGTTAGGTATAGCATTGTGCTTACAGTTACATACCTGCAATTAAGTTGGTATGATAGTGTTGGTATTCACAGATATGACTGAATTAACTCTGATCAGTTATTTAGTTTAAGGTGAGGAATTTGATCCTGTAAACTGTTAATATTGATGGCACTAATTTTTATAGGACTGAGCACCCAGGGATGTTTTGGTACATTACTGTGAGCCACATTAGGGTTGGAAAAGAAGTTATTATTAATTATCCTTTCTTATTTGTAAGTCACTCATGCAGAGATTAGGACCAGTGTTGCTCTATTTGTGGAGCTCAGCCTGCTAACTTTTTTTATGGCACCTTGTGATATGGAGAATATGGAACAGGATCTTAAATGTTAAGTCAGCTTAGATCATTGTTAGAAAGGGAGGTACGGTACCTTTGTCACCCTTGAAGAATTTTTTATACCCTTCAGGGAATTAACACTCTCAGGGTTTTCACATGCTCCAAGTGTATGATTTTTTTTTTTTTTTTGTCAAATGGGGTATTCTTGCACTCTTTGTGTATGTTTGTTTAACAGAAATTTTGTTGAAAAAAACTTTTATATCATTCATTCATGATGCTAATGTTACCTAAATATTCTTAATAGCGTATGTACCACAGCTGTGGTGAACGATAGAATCAACATTTCTTGTGAAAAACAGAGCGTTATTTGCACCCAAAAAATACCACCATCATTGTTGGTCTGTCATTTTGTATTATATATTTATATAGTTAATCTATTCACTGTCAGTTTGGAGAAAAAATTAGGTTTCTAACTCAATTAGAACTTATTGTAAACATTGAGTGTTTTGTTTTCGTTTTTTCATAAGAAAAATAAAGTTCCCAATGATGTTAGGTCAATTTTTTTCCAGGATATATTGAAAAAACTTGTAAATCACTTACTCAGGATCAGTACAGCACCAAGTTTATCTTACCACAATTAGTACTGATACTATGGATAAAAGTTATATATATATATATATATATATATATATATATATATATATATATATATATATATATATATATATATATATATATATATATATATATATATATATATATATATATATATATATATATATACTGTATATATATAGTACCTGTTTACTTTTTTTTTTTTTTTTATATACTCCTGGCCAGATTTAAGGGTACTTTATTGACTAAAATAATTGGAAGGGGTCGGGACCTGAGAGTGTTAAGGTACACGCGGTAAAAAACTATCTTTACAATTCTTGTGCGAAAAAATTGACACCACGAATGAAGGCTTTTGATAAAGGCCCACGAGGCATACCTCGCATTGGCAACCGTGTGTGGAATGTTCAATTCAAAATTCATTAGAGCCCTCGTGAAAGATACATTTTTACCAAGTGTACATGAATATTTTGTTTGCAGACTAGTTGTGTACATTTTCTTCTTTACTGTGTATTAACTGCTTAGTACAGGATTTTCTACATTGAACAGTATGCAAAGATCAAAATCCTGTTGAGAAGGATTATGGCCTTAATTTTATGCCTTTATGCCTGAAGAACTAGTCAGTGCTTGATGGGCTTGTTCAAATACTTAGGCTGTTAATATCAATGATCAAAGTGATAAACACCTCACATGATCATTGAATCCTAAATAGTATTTTCCTGTAGCTGCTAATCATTTAAGTATTCATAGCCATGTGACCATTCTCATGATGCAAAGATTTTCAAGTTTGACTTTTTTGAGGGACCTGTGGTGCACTGGTAGTATTTCTTGACCTGACTTTGCCTGATCACATAAATGGTGTAGATTTATTTTTAATTTTAACTGACTGTGTACCATATATGTATCTATTAGTGTACTTTTCCCCCCAAAAAGTGTGATATTGGCATTGTGATCTCATTGCATATTTTCTGGATCCATGGCTTAGAGCGTACTGTCCAATATGTATTGTTCATCCTCTGAGACTGCAGTATCTGAGTGTTGGTGGAGAAGCATTGCACTTGCCAAAGATGAAGGATATGTATTGCTTATGCTATGTGAAACAAAAATTTTGGGGTGATTTCATTTCCTAGAAAAGTTGATTTAGATGACTATTTTTAGTTTCATATTTTAGCAGAGTGCATACCAGACACAAATATCACTTTTTCATGGTTGAAGTAATGGGGATGGCAGCATTGGTGTCAAAAGGTGTTAGTGTTTCTGATTTGTTGAAAGTGTTCCATGAAACTTGTTTATGTATAAGCTTGGAATAAGTAAACTTTCAGTTATTTCTATACAATACGGAGAAACTCTTGACAGGTTTTTCCTGTGTACATGTTAACAGATTCCAACATTTAATTTTGCATTTTCTTACATTTATGGAATTTTTTCACACCTTTCAGTTTATAAAACCTGTAGACTTTCTTAATTCTAGGATGCCAGAGATGTGAAGTGTTTCTACCTTTCAACAACTTAGAATTTATTTAGAATACATATTATCATGAGAATGAATTAATTTATTAAAGCTGAAGTTCTCAGCTCATGAAGTGTAGCGTGAAAGATCTTTCATTTAGTAGTTCTATAATGTATTGTGTTAAATATCCATTGAAATTATGGGTTATATGTAAACAAGACACTTGACAACTTACTTCACTCATAATGTACTTAATGTCGAACTATTACACTCGATATGTATTCTGGCATCACTCGTGCTTTGATAATATATGCAGTATTTGTGAGAATCCGAGAATCGGAACTACAGGAAAATGGAGATGAGGACTTCAGAGAAGTGTAAGGCAGAGAATGAACCAGTGGCCACTCAAGTAGTATACATATAATGAGTGAATGGTAAGAGAAAATTTGGTAAAAAGAATGTATGAGTTAAAGGTGGAGGAAAAAAGTAAGCCCAACAATGAGATGGGTGAGTGTGGTGAAGGAAACCACAGCAGCGATAGAAATGGACATTTAGGTAGCAGCAGTGTGTGTGTGAATAAAGTAGTGAACATGATTTCAAGGCAGTACATGCTGTTGGTGGGCAATACTGGTTTGTGTGAACCACAGGAGTAAACCAGATGTGGGGCTGTGTTGTGGAAGGGGAGAACACATCTTTCATAGAAGTAAGATTGAATTAGAATGGCAGTGACAAAAAAAAAAAAAAAATATGTATGTTTGTGACTGCTTTTTTTTTTTCTGTCCACCCTACATTCAGCAGGAAAATGCTTGAGAGCATAAATAGAAAATTGTAATTATAGGCCAAGAATTGATTATTATATCAAAGACTTCCAGAATGCCTTGAAGTGATGAACTGTTAGTAAGCAAGTGCTCAGCAAGTAGACGAGTGTATCTTCTGAATTGTGTACTGTATATCCATTTCACTTGACATGACCATAGAAAACTAATTACTGTATGTTTAACTGATGACATAGGAGCTTTTCCTTCGTTGTCTTTTCTTGGATTGTAACTACTGTGTCTGCAAAATTCCAGATGCTTCAATGGGTTTGGACTTCAAAGATGAAGTCCATTCCAGATGAGCAGACAATTTATACTGTACTTGCAAGGTACCCAAAGATGATTCAAGACCATTCAAGATAGCTTAACCTTGCTTTGATTGTATATGTTCTATTTATGTAAACTATGAATAATAAAGTGTTTATTATCTTTACTTAAATCGGTATGTTTTTAACACAATTGCAGTATTCATATTTCTTAATTCAAATTATATATTTTAACACTTCGTATTTATTTCTCTTGCATAAAACAATATATTTTTATAATTTGCAGTAGTTATTTCCCCTTATTTAAAACTGATTTGTACACATACGGTATGGTAATTAATTTCCTTAAAACTATATACCTGTACAGTACAGGATATATATATATATATATATATATATATATATATATATATATATATATATACTGATAACCACAAGAAAACACGAAGTTCCCAAGCGCTTTCGTGTAATTCACATCTTCACATGAAAGCGCTTGGGAACTTCATGTTTTCTTGTGGTTATCAGCATATACTTGCATCACACGCACCTACAGTGATTTACTTGCATATATATATATATATATATATATATATATATATATATATATATATATATATATATATATATATATATATATATATATATATATATATATATTATTATTATTTATTTAATGCAGTGGTTTTTACTTTTTCATATTAATTTATTTTCTTGTCTAAAACAATATACTGTACAAGTATATATACATTTTTAAATTTTAGTAGTTCTGTATTTATTTTCATTTAGAAAGAGAAGTTACGTTAGCCTTTAAGCCCAGTTGTAACTTTATATTCTTTTTCTAAAGTGACATTCTTAATAAAGGCAATTCAGTACTGTACTTTATATGCATAGGTGTACATATGGCTTTTCCAACAGTGGCAGTGTCAATAATGTAAGGTTTGGCTGGCAGTAATAGTTTAATTACACAGCATTGGAAGTAATATTCGTGCATTAGTACAGTATAAGCCAATAATACCATAACTTTGACAAGAAGTTACAAGTTCAAGTGGAAAAGGAAAATGTAAGTAAAAGTATGAATTTCAGTAATACTTCACAAGGATGATAGTGAAGTATTGAAAGGGCTATACAGTACTGAACAGTATTCTGAAATATAACCAGATGGTTTGATGAAGTGGTCATTAGATTTAGACTGATATTAAACAAAGATGTACTGTACAGGTAATCCCCTTATTTACAGTGCTGTACAAGAATTTGCTGTTACGATCCCCCCCCCCCCCATCCTTTGATTTAGAAACTAAACCCGGTTGTAAACAAAATATCACCGTTTTCTTTTCTTTTTTAAATGAATATATACAGTGCTATGATAATCCAGATTTACTATAAGTTTGCTTACTTAAATGTGGTATCATTCTTCTCAAATCACCATATGTCTTCCTTAAACTCACTTGCAGACAAGTACACACGTCACAGCACCACCACGAACACAGTCATTCAGCCAACTACCTGGTTGTCTAATTTCTCCTCATTTACTCTCATGAAATATGTGGAAATTTCAAATTAAGTATAATATATTAAATCTGTAGCCAATCACAAGCCCACACAAGATAATGTGAGTGGTGCTTTCCTTACACATCCAAAATGACCAGAAAAATGTAGTATTGTAGTGGATTTCTCCCCTACAAACGCTGTTTGTCGCTGAGTAGCCGACCCCGCGAATTCCCCAGTGTATGCCTCGTGGTCTGGGTCAACCAACGCCGTCATACATCACGGAGGTCAACTACTAAGCCACGTCTACCTCCGCTGTTTAAGACCTGACCTCGTGGTGACCTCTCCCTTCTTCTAGCTACAGCCGCAGCAAGCTACACCACCTCCTCCACCGCTGCCTGGCGGCCCTCGCTCCAGCCGGCGATAATGGCGACCCACAAGCTGTCCTCTGAGCATCCTCACCAACCAGCACTCTCTACATCACGCTTGTAACCATGCTGCCTTCCCAGCACCAAGCTGCATTGTACATCCAATACAACATGTATACAGAGAGCACATTGTGAGTTTCCTTTCTCCATCCCATCCTGAGTGTGAACCCAAACATCCCATACCCCACAGTGTCATCAAGATCAGAGGAGTGTCACCTTTATCGAGATGATTTGTGCTTGATAATAATCGGAGACTTACAAGGTGCTATACCTGGTGTTTAACAAGAATACTTTTAATATCAACATCATCCAACCTACGAATATCAACCAAAATAAAGAAAGCAATCAGCTCTCTAAACTTTAGGATATCTTCTGAAGATATCTACGACCATCGTGGGATAGTTCTCGCTTGTTGCATCGATTTCAGTGATCCACTGTTGTCTTTTTGACATTCTCCCAGGAGGTGATACGGGAATTCAAATCACATGAAGATTAGCCCCCAGTTTATTTCACCTGATGATTAAATACCATAATGCTAATCAAACATAACCTAACACCCTAAGTAGTATTAGGTTGCTTAATCATCAACTGAATTTAACTGGGGACTCGGTTTTTTTCCTGGTCACAGGATAAGACATTGATATACGGGACAATTCCATATAAACGTCCCGTTTATATGGAATTGTAGTAGTGGTAGTACTACTACTGCAACAACATCAACAACTAATAATAAAACTATTGGTAATAGTAATAAATAGAATATAAAGGAAAAATATACTGTACTTATTCTCACAAGATAGGACTAAAATACTAGATTTTATGAATAATTAAATCTGTAACGATTAAAATATCACCAGCTTGAAACACATTTCTTGCTAAATAAATTGTATAAACAAAGTTTATAGAGTATCACCAACCAATCCAGCTTTTTGTATTGCACGTCAGCGTCCATAGCAACCACCTTAGCAACCGTGTTACCTCTCGCTAGACCAAACGTGTCGTGTCGTTTTCCCCTTCAACTGAAAATATATAAAGTGAACAAGTTTCTTTTGAACTTTTTGGTGAAGATCTTCATATTATAGTAATATATTCATCTATATCGGCAGAACATAAACAGCGTGCATCTATTATTTTTGTGCAATCCGCCATAGAAACTGATATTACATGAAACAATGAGAGTGACTTAACAATAAGCTTATCAACATTTGATTGCATTGGATTTAGTAGCTTGTGTGTTTACTGCAGTGTGAATATATTTGATTTTTGGAAGAACAGACACGCCAATTAACCACGTTCTGATTGGTTCACAGGTGGTTTATATCACGTTCCAATTGTTTTACAACTGACAAGCCAACAAGATTATCGGTACGCGGCAAGCTTTTTATCGGATCACAGAACGAATTACAGATAACAGCAGGTGCTTATCAGGTAATCGGCAGTAGCAAGCAGTCCTACGGCGAAGATGTCACGGGAGACAGTGTCGTTTGGCCAATCAGGACCGACGCCCGTGTGTGTGGATGAAGGGGCGCTGTCCTCCCGCACTGGCTGTTACGTCATCACACTCACCTTCCCCCAACCCACTCAGGTCAGCCCTTATGTAGGTCAACACTTGTGTTGGTCAGCACTCACTCACGTACGCGTACATGGTTCAGCACTTACATAGAGCAGACCATTTAGGCCAGTACTTATTAAACTGATTATTACTAATGCAATTCAGCACTAGAGATCAATACATACGTCAGCACTATGTTGGTTCATACACTGATCAGCACTTTTGTAAGCCAGTGCTCAATTATAAATAACGTAATACCGTACACAGGTCAGCAAGCACCTTCCCTCAACTTATTTTGGTCAGAGGTTTGTTGATATTATAGTGTTTTGAAAATAGTTCTCGAATATAGATTATTTGGACATTAAATATAAGAGAGAGAAAATGCTGTTTTTTTTTTTAATTCCTGTCCTCTTTTCTCAAAGAACAATTAATTATAGTTTGGTGACTTTATTCAAGAAGAAAGAAAAAGTGTGGAGTCGTATCAAACAAAACCCACAACAGCTTCATCCTGTTTTTCTTCAGATAGGAGAGATTACATTCAGAAACTACTACACATGGGCTGTAGGCATCCATGTTCTGCGGGCGGCCTCCAACTCTTCAGTTAACGTGGGTGGGGTAGTGGGCGCGGGGCTGCTAGGAGGCGACTCGGGTGGAGAGACGGCATGGGCATGGAAAGACCCAGGGGCATGGCAGGTAGGAGTAAAGAACAAGGTCATCATGCCACACCCCCATACGGAGACGGCCAGCCATGACTTCGTCTCCGTTACTTGCCTAGAGGTCAGTCCCCAACACATTTCAGGGCATGACGCACGCTGATTGGTCTCTGTTCCCCATACTTATATTTCCTTTAAAATCAGTCTGACCTCTTCTACTCAACCTAACTTAAACTTAATCTACTTAACAACATTTCCCAATCTATGTTATCTAACAAAACTAGAATTGAATTGAATTGAATTGAAACAGTTTATTTAGCCAGAAAAACACAGATACAGAGTGGATAATAATAACAATATTAACATGATTGAGCCAGTTGAGAACCTGAGCTCTCTCTTAGGCACCTGATATATACCATACATTTATCTCAAAGAAGTATTATGTAACATTTAGTATCATCTGGAATAGTACAATAGCATGGTGGTAATAAGAACATCTCATAATGTTACCACGGTTATCACTTCCTTATCTAATTTAACCTAACCTACCTTAAACTTAACATAAATTTGATATATCCTACCTAACGTATCATAAACTAAACTAAACTTACCCTATTCTAGAAACGTGTGGAATACCGGTACTGTACTGTAACTTGCCTCACAGTGGTCGAGATTCAGATTCAGATTTGCCTAGATTCACTGAACGCACAATACGCCAGGCCTTGACCCCATTACCTTCACCTTAACATATTAATCGCATCACCCCACACAGCGCCACCGTGACATAGGCAACTTCATTAAGCTTGTGGTACCCTGACAGTGACATATTATATTTACGGCACTAACCCCAGCAGAGTCGCGTCGATTGGCAGGACGTCATCGGGTTGCGGCTGGTTTTGCGTCAGCCATCGCCCGTGTGGAGGACATTCTTTATTGAGGAGATCACAGCTTACAGGGAGCTGCCCCGACTACCTCCCTTCAGCGTCCCCATTATCTCCCAGGACGGTCAGGTGAGTGCTCGTAAGAGCTGGGATGAGTCAGGTGGGTGCTAGTAGGAGCTGGGATGAGTCTGGTGGGTGCTGAGAGGAACCCGGTTGAGTCAGATGGCAGCTGGGATGAATCAGTTACGTGCTGGCAGGGGTTGAATTAGGGGCTCTAAATTCAACGAGGGTGGGCGAGGGGCAGAGGATTTCGATGTTCAGTGAAAATTAGCAAAGACAGTGGGGCTTCATTATCCATATGAACTGGTAAAGAGATCAAGGAGACTCCCGTCCTCAAGGATGGGAAAAAAGTATCAAGTTCAGCGGAGACAAGCGACTTGAGAGTCAGCTTAAAGATAACGATATTTAGTAGAAAAAATGGACTGGAACATACCCGAGATGTGAAGAGTTACTGTCCCTCGAGGAGCTATTAATTCAAACTTACCTGCAGAAAAATAGTACTGTATCATTATTTGTCTTCCATCCCACTTAAATTTTCTAAACTATTTTTTTTATTCATATTCAAGCTATACAGTCATGGTAGAATCAACCTTTGTTATTAATATCAAATGTAAGACCGCAAAAACTTAAATAATAAAGCATAATGACAAAACCAACTGTAGTGCCCACTGCCCACCTTGTCATGACCTATCTTGGTCATGATGGCTATGGGAGCCCTGGCGTCACCCTGGTCACGTATATCTGTCTCACTTCGACCAAGGACAGCCGTGCCTGAAACAAGAATTATGTAATGAATCTACGTTTTTTTCAATATATTCTGCTTATCTGAACTACAGTATATAATAAAAAAAAGAGAAGATGAATGCTTTCATCCCTCAATGTGAGTTAGAGCAGCTCCTCGACCCCACAAGGGGTCACAGCTCAAGATTGAATAAGCCGCAAGTCCAGAAAACTGTGAGGGCAAACTTTTTCGGCGTGAGGGTTGTGAACTCTTGGAACAATCTACCAGAAAGTGTTGTGACGGCACCGAGTGTGAGCTCTTTCAAGACAAGACAAGACTTGACCAACACTGGAGCAGGTTCAGGTACATTCAAGAGCCGGTGCATGCCCAGTACTTGCCAACAGTGCGTGACAGAGACGTGACCGATCGCCCAAGCGGCGAACGAGCCGATCATTTGGTGAAGAGGATAAAAGAAAAAAAAAGACATTACAGAGGGGGCAGATATAAGTCATCATGATTGGAGGGCAAAGTGTAGCTCTCTGTCAGAGAAATATCAATTAATACGCTTTTGGCTACAATGTTAGGAAAAAACTAACTAAGTCAACTCGTGTAAGCATCTCACGTTGACTCAGTTTTTCTCGTGAAGAAGAATTACTCACCATCGAGACTGAGTCAAGAGTTCTGTCTCGTATAAATTCCAATTGTTGATGGACTGGTGTAATTTCTAACCATGTTAACGCGCTTAAGCCTCGTACACACTAATATACATTGTTTAGATACAGTCCAGAGACAATGTTGCGCAACAATGTATCTCAGTGTGTACTACACGGCTTTAGAAACCAAGTTGTTGAAGCACAGTAGTTATAACATAATGCAAACATCTAGGACATCCTGACCATTAAAACAATCATATTCATTGTTATTGTATAAGTTTGAATAAGATGCGCATTTGCCGATGGTTTCATATAATCATTCCAACAGGGGGAGAAGAACCAGCAGGCAACGCCTCTTGACCGCCTAACCCAACAGACGCGCCGCGCAATGCGTATACCGCAGGACGAATCTCTGGAGGTATGTTCGTCTAGGAATCTTTGAACTTCGAGCCTAGACTCTAGGCTCGAAGTTCAAAGATTCCTACGTTAGTTTTTCCTTATAACTGGTGATTTAAAGGTAAGCATCACTGGTTGACTTAAAATACAATATTAATATGCTGGTTAATACTTGACTTCACCTTCAATCATAGATTAGATTACTGAAATTTCAGTGAAATATTTGCTTGTTAGTAATATATATATATATATATATATATATATATATATATATATATATATATATATATATATATATAAAACACCTATTTCTTCATACTTATATCGTATCTTGTGTTTCACTGCAGGGTGAGCTGTCCGGTAGTGGATATGACCTTGTTACTCTGCAATATACCTGCTAGGGAGCACTGGTCCTCCTGTGTGTCGCGTTCTTCGAGTAAGTCTACATCAATTAATATCAAGTGAAGGTCTTCCTTTATTAGAATACTTGGATATCCTGAAGTTTCGCCCCTCCCCCCAGCTTATTTCACCTGATGATTAAACATCCTACGCTTCCTGGGGGGCTGGGTTAGGGTGTTTAACTATCAGGTGAAAAAAGATGGGGAGCGAAACTTCAGATGTTGCCTGAACTCTAGAGCACAAACTCTTTGTAATGTTGCTCTTCTGTAATTCTATCAATAATTATAAACTACTTTTCTCTGTTACCCTTCTATTGTTTTAGATTATTAATGTCTCCACATGCATTAAAATATAAAGGTAACATAACCATAACAACGGTCTAAAGCTTGTGGGTGTCTGCAGCTCCTCGGAGGCAGGACGAGCGCTGAGGTTGCAACTACTATTCCTCGCTGGACAATAATACTACAGCACCGAAGACACTTGCTTTTGGGGGCCAGTCGTTCAATTAGCTGGATCCCACCCCATTCAAAATATTCGGTCATTTTTTCACTCCAGGGATCATGAGCTTCCGATCTAAATCAAAACAACCCTTTTTATATCAACACACGAGAAAATAGAAGCAATATGAATTGTATATTATGTATGTGGAGATGAACATATACATTCTACAGCTGCTGGGTAAATATGAGCAAAACTGGAACAATTCACGAAATAAAATTGTATATACTTTTATTTAGTGTAATGACCGCAAAACGAGGATGATGATGACACTAGAAAACAACCTTCTCACATTCAACCCAAGCAGAACCGTACCCAATTTGCAGTGGTAAGTGGGGAGCGGGTTTTTGTTGTACAGATACTACATTATCACCGACACCTCCTCAGTTATTTAAACAACACATAAGTTAGTTGCACGTTAATAAAGGATACAGGTGATTCCTTACTCGTTGATATTTTATTAACTTGCCTCCCTAACTTTTTACGAAATTATATATATATCGTCAAATCTCTTTCTCAGTTAATGTTACCATATTTCTTTTTATTTGATGAGCTACCAACGCCTGATATTATGAATACTACATTAAATAGTATTACTGTACAAATAAGACCATAAGTTTGGTTCCGGTATGTAAGTGAGTCGTATAAAACATTCAATAAGAGCCTATGTATTGACCCACCACCCGACCGACCGTTACAGTGACCAGTGGCTGGGAGGATACGTTATATATGTGTGTGTAGACAAGTGGGTAGGTTTGATCAGTGGGTGAGACGGTAAGTGCGGCTTAGGTGAGTAGGTGTGTAAAAGGCAGGTGGGTGGGTCTGTTGGTTAACGCTTCCCTCTTTGATAGAAACAGCAGAAAACTTTTTCTTTTAAGTACTGTGAAGTTTAGGTAAGGTTAGGTTATGTCAGGTTTGGTTAGGTGAAACTTAGTTATATAGAATCGGAATTATTTGCTTTTGAATAATTAGGTCCGATTTTATTATATTTATTCAATTTCGTTATGCTAGTAATTGTGATTATATGAGAAGTCAGTTTATGTCACGTTTAGCTGTCATTTACGTATGTTAGTTGGGAGATAAATTATAAGGAATAAAATTATTTTTTATTTTCCTTTAAAAAATATGCTGCACACTTTACTCTACTGTATGTGTATTTGTAATTAAATATTATATGAAACGTTCACTGATGTTTTGATATTCTTTTGTTAATTAAATACTGTGCTGGAAGGAGCAATTTTCAGAGTATACAGTAATGGAAGACCAATGGATAAGACTTTTCTGCTTTGGACAATCACGGAATTATTTTTTGTGATTGTGATTTTCAATGACCAATGACATTGAAGAAGAAAAGTGTGAAGTAGATTGACTCGTAACGCGTTTTAATAGTCAGAACTGTTAAAACATATAGATTACGTTTGAATACATATTTACCGGAAGTCATCGTCTTGATACATAAAAACCTGAATTAATCGTCAGGATACATGTGGACCTGAACTCATCGTTCTATAAGTGGTATGACTTCTGGGAGCAGCAGGTGTCAAGCGTGACGTACTGTACGACTGAACATGCCTGGGCATGTTCGTTTGATTGATATAAAAGATTAAATACGTCATATAAAAACTACACTACACCCACTTAAGATTTAATCATCAATAACTATGGTTCTACACTCAATCAGTATCAATAACTATGGTTCCACAATCTCAAGTTAATGACAAATACATAAGCAGATTATATCAACATCATCGAACCTTTTTCTTTCCATGTAAAAAGTTATTTGGGTTTCCTTTATGTCTATGTACACGGCATATCCAGTCTACCTGTCACTGATGCCTACGTTCCCCGCAAGATGGTTAATGTCAAAAAATTATTCCACCCAAGACAACGATCTTTCTGTTTATAGCTAGATTATCCGAACTTACAATAACAAACCCCTATGGTAGTCTTGATTTCATTGGGATAGATTTGGTTAGTTTATTCATGTCTTCTGGGAACATAATTGTTTCACAGTATAAAATGGTAGTAGTAGTGGACATATTTGCATACTGGCAGTCAGCAGATCATAAACAAAAACGTGTGGCGAATGAATCAATAAAAGTTGTGGCGGTGGTGCTGCCTGCGGCGGTAGTGATGGTGGTATTAGTGGAGGTGACTAGTAGTAAGTGTTGGTCAGGACGACGCTGAACTGTTTCACATCGCTGTCTCCATCCAGGTGTGTTTTCATATCGTCTGTGTTTGAGTCTCTTTTTAACCACACGAATTATTCATACAGTCTTTTTTTTTACTACTCTCTTATCTTCTTCCTCATGGTGGTAATATTTTCATTCTTCGCTTGTTTTTGTGACACTGATATAAAGGTATACTGCCAACAGTGAGTGACAGTACTGACTGACCCACCCGACCAACTAGCAAGCTGACAAGTTGTGAAGAGGATAAAATGAAATGTATCTTTTCATTTCACTACTATTAAGGGCTGCTAATTCCGTCTGTTCATTCGTTCGTCTGTCCATCGATATTTCATGCTTGGTGTATACCGTTGATCCAGAAACGGGATATTGATGATAATTTACAGAAAGATTAAAGAAGAAATGTTGCGCACAACTCCCAGGTCGCTACCATGAAGGTCAGGGTTATTAACTTATTACTTTGAGCTCAAAATAATAAAATTATTGTTAGTGGGTAACTTCGTTTTCCCTCTATTTGTTGTCATTATAATTATTTCATCATTCATATTACTATCCTCAAATTCATTCACAGCACATTTATGAAACCGTCTGACCGATCTGAATGGAAAGGCATTTTTACCGAGGCTTTTCATGGATATGTGTCATCACTAGACTAACTCGAATTGTAATTACCAAATTAGTTTCCATGTCAAAGTTCAAAGTTACAATGAGGTCAAAGATCAGAACTTGGTAAAGAGAGTAATGCCTGTTAATGGAGGTATCGGGTATCTTAATGAAACTTTAACTTATTATATTACTGTAATACAAATTGTAGAACATCGATCTCAAATGTCTATGTCAAAATTCAGGTCATTGGTGAAGATAATAATTCTGGTATTGATACTGATATTTTAATGACACTTTATACGAATCCATTTGGAAAATTGGAATCACCTCGAGATCAGATACATCATCTTATTCTTACTAATGATTAAACCTAACGCTAACCTAACACCCATAGGAAACGTTAGGGTGTTTACTCCAGTGAAATAAACTGGTGTGTTTCTTCAGGTGATTAAAAATGTGTGCCTTTTATTTTCTATCCCAAAGTATTCCAGCATTTAATCAATCTCCCTGTGAAACATTACGTGCTCATGGCATTTCTTACGTTTTTCGCTTGTCTGTTTCTCGTCCTGAGTGCCTCATATTTCATTCCAATTAGTATATTTCACATTTTTTGCACAAGAATTCGAGGGAGACTTACTGTGTTTGTTTGGATTTTAGTCTTAAGTATTTATGGTCCTGTTTCAGTGACACAGATAACAAAACACCACTATGGTCCTGTTACAGATTATCACAGCTAACATAGCAGCAGGGAGAGGTGAGGTATATGAAGGCGTCACAGTAAACATAGCAACATTTGGATGATCAAAATGAAGCTCATAAGGGCGTGGTTGACTCTGCTGGTCATGACCTCAGGTGAGTACCTGTCTTACTGCTAAATATTGTATGAGAGAGAATGAAGAGAGGGTGTAAGAAATGAGAGGATGTGAAAATGAAATAGAAAAAAATATAAATATTGAAAAAGAATAATAAAAAAAATTACCAAGAGGAAAATATAAGAAATACTGATTAATATATCATGAATGTTCTGGGAATCAAATACGGCCAATTGCTTGAAGAGATCGGATATCAATATCGTGATTTCCCGATGAACTGTTTAAGCCCGGGCTGTCAGCTAGCGAGTCAAATATATGTACCCACTTCCATCATCATTGGTAAAGCAGTTTTTTTCTCAATATCAACCTACTTTTATTCATTGCTAGTGTACAACATTATTTACTACAGGTCCACTCGCCATCTTTTCCTGCGTGTTCGTGCCTTATTTGGTGGGTCAGCTGGCGAGTCGTATGAACAATACGCACATAATTATTATCGTGCACATTGTTATTTCTATTTTATCATACTGATCAGTATAGTTTTCAATAGTTGTACGGAAACTGAGGTAAATTAGAGAACTGTTCAATATAAAACCTTTCAAAATCATCGGGTCTACTCACGAGGTCTCCTTCACTGTCGTATGAGGCAAAAATATTACTTGTCTGACAGGATAGTAATTTAATTATTACTCGCCTGACAGGCTCGTTATTTTTTAATCTAACTTTCCCGAAGGATTTCCCACTGGTCACAGACGAGCGGGCGAGTAAAATTGGGCGGCCCTGGTATAGTAAATCGTCTACAATGTTCATAATTGACACATATATTCTACATACCATAACCCCTAAGGCTTTGATGTTTTAAAGTCAAATAAATCAAAGGTCAAAATCACATAGAAAAAGGCACCACCCGAGCTGAGTTGGTACACAGTCAATCCGGTCTAGCTGGCCATGTGAAGTTAATTGTTCTGGCACACCGTCAATTCGGTCTAGCTGGCCATGTAAAGTTAATTGTTCTAACCCTTTACCGAATAAAAGGAACGGTAAACCGCTCAGTAATGAACATGAAAAGCAGTTGCACTAATACAATTGATGACAAAAAATATATGACACGAGGCACTGTGTACTGTATACGACTCCAGCTGAATAAAATCGTCTGGCGGTAGCCAGAATAAAGTGGCAAGTGCGTGACACGCAGTGAAAGGGTTAATGTCGTATACGCCATGAGTCTCAGTGATATCATGAATAACGCCGTGTGATATCATGAGTAACCGAATGCAGTATTACAAGTACTCATGTTCTGCACTATATATCACTGATAATATAATTATTTTTGGTCTGTGTTATATGATAAACACTTCTTTGAGGCTACGCCCACACACATTCTTAACTTCCGCTGCTTCATGATACGGTTAGAACTAGGCTGTATCAAGACTTCAAGTCTCGAAGTTCGAGATACTATACAGGAGGCCTTGGTTGTGCACGGCTTAAACACGGCTTTATCGCCCATTGTCTGTTTTAAAAGCTTTGTCAACCCATTGTCTTCTTTAACTAGGTTTTGTCATCTATACTAGGTCTTTATCTTAACATAGTTTTGTCTCCCAGCTATTTATTCTAACACGCTTAGAATTATTAAGATCACATACTACCACTACATCGCGTGTCAGGGTATGATCGATTAACTGTAAAATTACCTATGCAAGTGAGAGTAAAAGCCAAATTTTAGTGTTTTCCACAGTTGATAATTATTCCGCAAAAACCGGCGTGCGAATTAAGCATGAAACACATTATTCTTTAATATAGTTTTCATGCTGAATACAGTGGTGAGTAAATATTTAGAAGTCGCCAACACCTACTTATATATTGATTCTTATATAGGGAGAAAGAGAAAACTAAAAATTATTTATTCTATAGCGTTTCCGTCGGGAATTTATATTTTTCTCGTATTTTATTTATTTTTTTTTCAAATTGGGCAGGGCTTGGAAGTAGAGGGAAAATGTGAAGTAAAATAATAAAAAACACTAAACAAACTTTTGAAAACCTTACCTAAACTTTAAATTTCCTAAAACTATAAAAGCTCCCCAATTCATGTTTTTGGTGTTTAGTGGGTGATAGTGTTGTTTTCGATTTGTAGTATGTGGTGGTGTTTTCGGTGCTTCAGATGAGGAGGGATCCATAAACTCAAAAGCGATTCTTAGCATTTTTACAATTTAGGAAAGGCTAGGTAAGGTTTTCAAAAGTTTGTCTGGTGTTCTTTTTTATATTTTACCCCACATTGCCCATCTACTTCAAAGCGCAGCCTACTTTGAACTACTAATATTGTGGGCAATTTTATCGGTTAAAATACTCGAAAAATTTAAATTTCCTAATGGAAACGCTATTGAATAAAATATTTTTTCGTTTTTTTTCTTTCTCCTTATATGACTCAATATATAAATAAGTGAAAATTTAGGGAAATACATAATTATTGAGTTTTGACCCTTCCTGCCCTGTCAACTTCGACACCACCAAAGGTGGGCAGGGCTTCGAAGCAGAGGGAAAATGTAAAGTTAAGAACATATGAAAATAACTAAAAGAACCCAACTTGGTCATTTTACTCATCTACTGTAGAGGAGGATAGGCATGGGCGATTTCCTTGAGGAAGTTATGTAGGGTGGCAGTGTCGTCAGGACTGTTTACTTGAGACCACATTAAGTTAGTGTAAGTTCAAATACATTTTTTTTTCTGATGCCCATTGCCGTATTCCCCTATAAGCAGGGCCGGATTCAGGAGTGGGCAAAGTGGGCAGCTGCCCAGGGCCCTCCACAATCTGGGGGCCTCCACATATTACAATATTTTAAATATTTGTTTATTCATTTGGATTATTTTTATTTTCATTCATTAAAATTCATGTTTATCTATTCCATCACGTAAAACTATGTTCAGCAAGAAGCGTGATAGAAATTAGGCTAGCAACTCCTTGAAATTCATGAATACCTGGTTTTCCTATGAACAGTATATTTTTAATGAATGTTATTGTTTGTGTTGCTAATAATATATTTAGAATTCCACAAATATATATTGATTAAAAATGAACTACATGGAATAACGAAATTGAGATTAAAAAAAAGACAAGTAAAATATTTTTTTTCATTATCACTTCCATTACGAATGCCATCAGGGCGCTGTGTTTGTTGACAGTCGGTCGGAGGGGGTTGGGTCGTTTAGTATCTGCACATCGGTTGTCATGTGTCTGTCGATTAAAGAGGAGACTTGCGTCGCCCATGATTCGTGAACTTCCCACGAGTAGACATAAACATGTCTTGCAGATGTAAAATGAGAGAGAGGATTGTCATGTGTGCTTGTTGAGTGAAGTCGTGACGAAATTGTGACGAAATTGAAGCAGCTGTAGCAAAATTGGTTGCTGAGTACTAAAATGATTTGGATGAAACACTTGGAGTTGAACTTGTGCAGTTTACAGCATTCTTCACTCAATTTCTTGAAGACGAAGATGATGAGAAAGGGAGGGCACATTACCTTTACAAGCTGTTGATAGACAAGAAAGTTGTAGATACATTTCCAAATGTTGAAATAATGCTACGGATGTACTTGGTGCTCATGGTCACAAATTGTTCTGGAGAACGTTCTTTCAGTAAAATGAAGTTTATTAAAAACAGACTTCATACTACAATGTGTCATGATAGGCTCAGCCACCTGGCTTTGATGAGTATCGAATATGACATCCTCAGAGAGATTGACTTCGAAAAGTTGATCAAAAACTTTGCAGTGGTCAGGTCACGTAAAGTGCCTGGTCTGTAAATAAAGGTAATGTTTATTTTCTATTTTTCAATTGATCAATGTTTGTGTTCAATATATCCATTATCCATGGTCGATGGCAGTTATTTTTATTAAAATTCTTGTTTTTTCCAACTTGTTCATACTTTTGTTATAATTTTATCAAATTCATTGAATTGTTTATTTGTTTTACTATTGGATGCAAAACTTCAATTTTATTTATAGTTGAGTTAATACTTTTTCTGAATCTATCTGACCTTGGACTTAAAGAAGCCTATACATGCATTCTTGGACAGAACCATTATTTGAGTAGAGGTTTATCTGATTAATAATGCAAAGAATCATCTCTGTAATAACTAATAATATATTCGTTTCTGTGAAGTCACTTGAAAATTTTTGACATGTGCTGTAGTAGCTATATCAGGGCTGGTCGACTTGAAACCACATGAATGACTCCAGTCATGTCTCACTTTTGTGTGTGTTTGTGTAGGGAATTTGTATACTATCAATAAATATACAGTTAATTAAAAATTTCTCAATGTTCTAATGTCCTCAATATAACTGCATATGGCTTCAAAATTCTCCAAAGAAGTGTTCAAATTTCAAAATTTTCGTGGGGGGCTTACAGCGCCCCCCCGGAACTTCCAGATGTTTAGGCTCGCTTCACTCGCCACCCGACCCTCGAGGATAGTTATAATGAGGGGGGCCTCCACAAAGAGGCTGCCCATGGGCCTCCACAGGTCTAAATCCGGCTCTGCCTATAAGGAGTACAGTAATTATATAGGACTAACCCGCGGGCGAAATTGGTTGAAAACAATTGTAAAAACACCAGATTTTCATTGTTATATTATAGTGTACACTGTTGTAGTTTGTGAAAATATGTTAAAAAACGGATATTTTTAAAATAAACGCTACTTAACATTTGTGGTTATGAAGAACAGACCTAACCAACCAAACCAAACAAACCTACCTAACCTCACCTAACTTACCCGGTAGATTAAACAGAAAGAACTTTCTATGATATGGTGAAATTTGAGCCATTTCTGGATATGAGAATGTGAGATGATATGGCCGCATCGGCGCTATGCAGCCCGGCGGGTTAGTCATATATTAACCAGGAGTATTTTTTTTTTATTATTAAGGCTGCTCAAGAGGACTTCGTTGATATTTTCAAGCAAAATGCACCATCTGTTGTTTGTGGCAGGGAAGGCAGACAGCGTATTGGTACTACGCTTCCAGGAGGACGGGTTGGCTACACCTGATTCTGTGGCAATGTATGAAGGCGAGCTGGTCCGCTCTCGGGAGATGTACAGCCTAACTCTGTGTGCCAGGTTCCAGATCTTCTTCCTGCACACCCGCGCCGTCTTCTTCCAGCTTCATGACACTCAACTAAAGTTGGAGAACATGCTACTAGGAGGTAGGTTGGCCTTAGCCAAGAATTCTTACCTGATGTGGCAGAACACCAGATTATTTAGTAAAAACAATTTGTATGTAGTCTGTAGGTTATTGGCATCCAAATATAGATATCTATGAATAATGTCTCAAAGCAACACATTGTAATTATTTAGCTGAAAAAAATTGCTTCTCGGGAAACGAAAATTGAACGCTCAAACATTATTTACCAGAAATTATTTGTTTAAATCATTACAGTGTGTCTATTTATTGATTCTTTTCAACGTTAATCTAAATTAGTGCAAATACAAGCTAGAAAATGCTACTTATGAACAAGAGAACAAAAATAAAGGTCCGTTCTTAATCATTCATGATATCATTTGATATACTGTACACATTTCGAGTTATTTGTCCACTACTCGCCACTAATTGCGTTAAGCTACACCAGAAAATATATATTTTGTTAAGTCAAGACAGGCGGAAACTGGGCTGACTAAACGCATCTAAAAACTGGATATTGTTATTCATCAGGGTAATCATACAAGGCCTTATTTGCATCTACTTGCTCTACAATGCTTCCCTTATAAAAAAATATTCGAATTTCGGTCTAGTCGTTCAAATAAATCCATAATTATCGTGTATAATGTCGCCTCATATTCATGAATATTCCTAAATTAGTCTGAAACGTTATTTATTTATTTTTTTAGTTTTTCAACTCGTAGCAAAATCCATTATCGTATGTATATGAATATAATTCAAGTCAGGGTCACCAAGGTCTAGTAATGAATATATAAAAGGTAAACATTGCACTCTATTATTTGTTGCCATTAATATTTCTTAATGGCCTGTAAGTGTTGTACTGATTTGAACTTAAATCTAAGCTAAACGTTTTTACGGCAATAACTTTTTCGTTGAAGAAGTCAGCGCGCTGTGAAATTGATTTAGTAGCAATAGTGAATATTTGGTGCTAGACATTTAACAAATTACAATAGACAGCCAGAGCTAATGCCATATGTTATTGCTATGTGGTATTATTATGTACACCTGCTGGTACAGAGACGTCATGGCACCCTTAATAGTGTATAGATTTAGGGAATAGAGCGATCGTTGTACCAGTTTAACTTCATGTTTTATATAAACATACATAGCGTAGCGTACCCACTGTAAGCAAAGTCGAGGTAAAAATAATCGATGACTGATTGTACTTATGCGTTCTCTTGAAAGACATGAAAAAAGGCACTCCGGATATTACTAAAGGAATGCATAATATACGAAAAATAGAAGACCTTTTCCAAATGCGCAGCAACTAATGCAAGAGCTGCTTGGTGGTTCATTTCCTATAATTTAAATAATAAGTTGACTGACTGTAGATGTAAGGATTACCAAAATCATTTGCAGTTACGCACAAAAATTCAGTTACATTATCGAAACTGACCCAAAATGATGTAACAAATTAGATTTAGTGTTGTGCGTTAGGGCCATACACTTTCATTAGTGTTCCATGTCGACACTCTGTGTGGTGTGTGACCCCATTTCCGATACAGCACATGTATAAACTATAGTAGTTGCCTATTGTCGATACGTCGCCAACAAGTATACTCAGGCGGAATGAATTCGCTTTCATTGGCTGTTTGTAAACTTAACCTGAGAGATGTTTGGTTATAGAAGTTGTTTGAATAATAAACTGATTTTGATATTAAACACACCAATTTCTCATTTATGCAGCAGGATAATGAATTATTTTTACGCCAGCCAGTCAGTCGGTGCCGCTGACTTGGGGCATCAAATTGTTGTCTCAAAAGTGTTTTCTTCAATAATATCTGATCAGTCATAGTGTCAGATTATGGTTGTAATGGTCAAAACTCATATGTGTGTATAGGGTGGTCAAAATAGCATAAAGACGTACAGTACAACCTGGAAGCTGAATTATCACTTAAAGAAATGTGATTTAATTAAATGTTTCCACAGATAAAGTAGAGACTCGATTGGATTAACCTATAACACTCTAGTTTTATGAGATTTCTAATATCAATAACTAAGTGACATATCTTATTGCAAGGCAGCAATTTATCTGTAAGTGCAATTATCCGAATACAGTACAGTTCGTTTGTAAGAATTTCTCAGTTTTATACTTGACTGCCACTGTTGGTGCTCACTGAAAAATCGGAGTATTTTTTTTTCTCAGGAAGAATGTCTAAAGTTCTGAAAAGTTTTACATAAACAGTATTAGCTATGTCAACATGTTTTGAAGTCCATCCAATGCACACACACACACACACGCGCGCGCGCGAGCAGTCTTTCTCGTCTCTATTTTATTTCAACTCGGCCTCATTTCGCCAACATCGTAGCTTTCACGTTCGTTCTATTTCATCCCTTTTGTTTATACAGGCATATTAACATAATTTTCTTTGGATTAAATTTTATTTTGAATATCAAAGATCTTGCTGGGTTTTTCTCTATTTTCTATAGGCTATCTTTTGTTGGATCACATTTTGTTTCACTTCTTTTTCTCTTGTTTTATCTAATTCGCTTTTTATTTATTTTTCAGAAACGCACTATGCTACTTTGAAATATTTAATTGATTGTCTTCTGCAGGAGCAATAAAGCAATCACCATCGTTCGTCTATTTGTTTACTGTACATGTCCTCCCTAAGTAAACAGGAAGAGCTACTTCCGTTCGTCCGTTCCCGTGAGTTTCAGCATGGCCATATATTGTGAACGCGATAACTCGAACAAATACCAATGGATTTTTATGAAACTTGGTGTGTGGGTGTAAACAAACAGTATCTCCGATGTTTCAGTTGATTAGTATTTGTTTTATTATGAGAAATATTACCTATTTTGTTTTATGGTGACGGAGAGCTTACGCTTTTATGATCAACTTGTAAATTTTATTTCCCTTCACAGAGGTGCTGGTGGAACGGGTTAGATTCGTCATGAACAACGCCTGGAACTATCAGCTCCTGGAGAAGGAACTGTGGGCCTTCAGGTCAGTATGTTGACAATGAGCTGAAGTTTAGGGCCATTGCGAGAAGAAGGTAAATCAGACAACTAAATTATTAGGTCTTATAAGAAGGTCGTTCAGATATCTAGACGTCCCTCGTAACGATCTTCAAGGGTGAAGTGCTTTCCCATCTGAAGTACTGTCACCCCGCCTGGTCCCCGAGATATGCTAGGGACTGTCAATTGATTGAAAATGTCCAAAGGAGGGTCACCAGACTGCGGTGCCTGCACTACGGCACCGCAGCTACCCTGGGAAATTGGAACGCCTGAAATTGCCTAGCTTTTACTACAGACGGGCAAGGGGTGACCTAATTGAGGTGTATAAGCATCTCAAAGGGCACTACTCAGTCGAGTGCCCTTACCTGGAGCTGGCGGACGCTCGCCCCACAAGGGGTCACAGCTCAAAGTTGAAGAAGCCGTAGGCCCAGAAAACTATGAGGGGTAACTTTTTCGGAGTGAGAGTTGTGAACTCTTGGAACAATCTGCCAGAGAGTGTTGTGACGGCACAGAATATGAGCTCTTTCAAGCCCAGACTTGACAAGCACTGGAGCAGGTTCAGATACATTCAGGAGCCTGTGCATGCCCAGTACTTGCCAACAGTGTGTAACGAAGGCGTGACCGATCGCTCAAGCGGCTAACGAGCCAATCAGTGGTGAAGAGGATAAAAGTAAAAAGTAAAAAAAAAAAAAATGAGTAGTACTATAAGGGACAGGTGTGTACACTCAGGTGTGGACTTTCAGTTGAAAAGTGGGAGGACAGGCTATGTTTGTTTAATTTAACTTAGGTTAGGGTGGTTCCGCGCTAGGGTGTTTAAACTTCAGGTGAAATAAACTGAGGGGAGGGCGAATCTTCAAGTGATCCTAATAACTTGATTTGTTTCCTCGCCTCACAGGTGGCATCATCTTTGCTTCACATACGACCACCCAAAGAACCTGATCAGCACCTACCTGGACGGGGAGCTCAACAACCAGCAGGAATTCGTGTTACTGAGTCCTGTATACGGTGACTGGGCCAGGCTCGGTCAGAACTTCGAGGCCAGTAACAGTTTCAGTGGTGACTTGACTCAGGTTAGCACTAGTATTTTCCCTCTTCTGTACAGTAACGTTATTCTTCCTCCCCATCTCTGTCATCGCCTTATTTGTCTCCCTTTACCATTATTCTTTTCCTGTTGCGTCAATGTTTCTTTTACTTCTTGAAAATCGACGAGACAGGTTTGTATACACATGAAGGCTGTTGGCTTGTTTTATCCTTGTTAAGATTCATATTCAAGTTCGATAAATTCTATTGTGATTTTAACGTTATTCATCTACACTTATTTCTCCAATCAATTTTTAGTCAGTAAAAAAAAACTCATTTGAACAATTACGGACAAAATTCCTTGGACTCTTTTGACAACTTCTGGCTTGGGAGGGGTTAGGATTTTAATATATATTTACCCAGATTATTCTTTGCTTTATAGATTGTTTTGCATGTTCTTCTGATGTGATTTATATTGAAAAGCAGTGAAATGTATATTGCCTGCAAGTAAATACTGGATATTGGCAAGTGTTAAGGGGCTGGTGGCCGCAGCTCTTCATCCGGCCTTTTGCCACCCTCCTTTTTTTTTTCACGCCAGTTACAATTATGTCTCCTTTTACTTCCCCTGCAACATTTTCTTTAAACCTCTGGCGCTGTAGAGATAATCTGGTACATGAGAGGAAATTAAAGAAAATAGGGTTTTTTTAAAATACTAATATGAAGGGTATTATTTTCTTTAGAGAGTGGTCATTGTGTTTAGCTGATTACCCCCTTACAGGTGAACGTATGGGATCGTGTCCTGACAGATGAGGAGATCCTGGCCTTTGCTCGGTGTGAAACTAACCCAAAGGGAAGCTACATCTCCTGGGAGGCCGGCTGGTCACTTAAGGTCGTGTCCACTTACGACTTGCCTCTAGCACAGTTCTGTCAGCAGGAAGTTGGCACAAGTTACTTCTGGTTCCCGTCAGTGCCAGAAGTGACGGCCCACTACGTGTGCGAGGCTCTAGGGACACACCTCCCCTGGGCTGAGAACATCGACGACGTGTACACCCTACAGAAGGTCTCCGCTGCAGCCTATCCCGACTTTGGCAACTGCCATTTTAATTTCTGGATGTCGCTGACTGACAAAGCAGAGGAGAATGTGTGGAGGTCACACGACGGCAAAATTGTAGAGGGTATCTTCTGGGCACCGTACGAGCCTAACGGATTGCGTTATGAGAACTGTGCAGCTCTCAGTCGGTACGGTGTGGCTGACATTAACTGCGACATGCAGATACGTTGTGCAGTGTGCACTTTTATAAAGCAACATAGATTTTCTCTTCTTGGCATTTGTGAACAAGAACTTCGAAACGTATACTTTGTTGCCTACCAAGAGAACATAAATGAATTGATATTCATCGGTTACGGCGAATATCATATCAGGAGACTTGAGGACCAGTGGACCTGGGTAGACGTTGTCAATAACCTGACCGTCGCCCACATGGAGGAAACAGTGCCAGACTTTCCCATGGGACGACGGTGGTGGCGTCTAGAGAGAGAAGTGTGTGGACAGAAGGCAGGTGGACGACGGAGACTGTCACTATCACCTTGTCCCCATCACCACTACAGCTGTGATGACGCCACCTGTATCCCCATACACCACCGTTGTGACCTCAAGTATGACTGTCGTGACAATAGTGATGAGCTCGACTGTCATCTGATATCTTTCCCACGGGATTATCAGCGCCACCTGCCACCAAGATTGAGCGGAGAGGACGACGTAAGTTTACCCATCATTCTCAATGTAACCATGGAAACTATAGCCGTCCAAACCCTCGACATGACCATGGAAATCGCTTATGAGGTGGCCATGACCTGGATGGACAACAGACTGAACTACCTAAACTTGAAAGTTAACGACAGCTTAAATAAACTACATATTGACACGGTACGGAAATTGTGGATCCCTCAAGTGAACTTCATCAACACAGACAACATCCACCGCACCCACATCGACGAGGACGTTGTTATGTTCATCCACCGCAGCGTCAATGACTTCTTCATGGACAAAGCTGCTCCCGCAGAAGGTACTGTAGGGCTATATTAAACGTCCAGTCTTTATCAGAATAATCCAAAAATAAACGAGGTAACGTTTGCATCAATAAAAAAAAATTTCGCACATTGTAATCCAAAAGTGTTCATATTAGTTTGTGTTTAAATTTTCTCTTTACTTAGCAAGTGAAATTACTCCCAGTGCTAAAACTAAAAACATTGCACAATATTGTAGGTCAAGTTTCAGTGACGCCTTGTAAAACGTTGACGTCTGTTGCATTTAACCCCCAGTTGAAGTGTACGATGGCAAGGTAAACTCGCTCACTATCAGACGGAAGTACGGAACGATTTACAAGTGTAATTTTGACCTGGCTCTGTACCCCTTCGACGTCCAGCAGTGCGAGATGCGCCTCAGGATCACTTCTGAGTTGAAGTCCTTCCTCATATTCGACCAATGGAACTCTTCTGTGGAGTACCTGTCCAACCCTTTCCTGGTGGAGTATGAGGTATGTGTATGTTTATGCGTGTTCTGCTTCAATTGTGCTGTTTCTGCATAGCCTTGTCGACTAATTCGTGATATGCTTGAAGCAGCAGTGTTCTTTTAGGATTAATCTCTTCACCACGAGGACGCTACTTTTAATATTTTATTTGGCTAACACCAAACGATTTTATTCAGCACAGGGGGATCCTGTACCTAAGTGGTTGACAATAACTTCGTATCAGATAATTTTAACCCTGTTTGGTACAATAAAATAAGGCCTTCGAGTCAAGCCAGACCTACAGCTGTGTTTTGCTTGGTGAAGTATCTCATTTATTTCTGAGAGCAATACACGTCTATGTTCTTCACGGTCTGTTTAAAACTGTTACTGAGTGTTTTACTTATCTTATTGTGAAGGAGTGCAGAATAAAACCCTTTTCTCGCCTTCGTGCACACAGCAGTGATAGTTGACCCGGATACTCACGAACAGTGATCAGCAGAATGTGCCCAGCAATCACTACTTGAGACAACATCTTTGCATCGTTGACACTCAAAATTGATTGACATATTATTCTCATAATTTTTAATTCACCCAGAAGGCACTTCTGTTTTTATCCTTTCCTGTTAGCCAGAATTGTTAGTAAGTTGTCCATTCTTTCTGGATTATCCATGGATACCGAATTACACTGTTTACAAACTTACCGCCTTACGTATCTTTTTCGCCGCTCACCAGCATACTGGCCGGTCAGCCAATATTCTCCATTGCACGCTGTTGGCAGTTGTGGACATGCACAGACTCCTAAGTATGTATAGTTGTTATATTACTGGGCAACTTCTATAACTTCAACAAAGACCCACTTTAGATCAAGGAAGCTTTTACACCTGAAACAGATTCCCGCCTTGGGTAGATATTGGCAAATTCTTCACCTTAACTAATCTCTATCACGAAAGAGAGAAGTTATTACTAAGACTCGGATAAACATCGCAGGTGGGAAGGGTCCATCTGGTGCACGACAACTCTGGCATGTTCAGCGAGTCGCGGGTGGTAGTTCCTCTCAAGCGACGTTACGGCTACGCTATCCTCACTATCTACACCCCGACCCTTGTCCTCCTCGTCGTCAGCTACACTACCCTCTTCTTCAGGATCGCCATCTTTGACGTCAGGATGATGGCCGCCCTCACCGTGCAGTTGGTGATCGCTACCCTCTTCTCGCAGGTATAAGTTGGTGGTGGTAATGGGGGTGGTGGGTAGGCGGTGACGGTGATGGGTAGGTGGTGACGGTTATGGGTAGGCGGTGACGGTGATGGGTAGGTGGTGACGGTTATGGGTAGGCGGTGACGGTGATGGGTAGGTGGTGACGGTGATAAGTGATGGTGACGGTGAGTAGGTGGTGACGGTGATGGGTAGGTGGTGACGGTGGAATATTTGGATCACCTGACACTTAGCCCCTATCTTATTTCACTTTTATATTAACCTCTCCCAACTTAAACCCAGGTAGTGTAAGGGTTTAAATATAATGTGAAATAAACGGGGGGGCTAATCTTCAGGTAATCCGAATATTTTTTGTCACCGGGTAGCTTTTGTTACAATAGAGTATTACATCTTCATTTCAGTAATAAATCAAGTAACTGGTGGCGAAATATTCTAAGTGTAAATATATCAGTGAACATTTCACAACAATCTATAGTGCAGTAACATATATTTCTCGGAAGGCCTTGAGTATTTATCTCAGCTTCACTATTCACTGTTATGTTTAATCTTTAAGTATGCCCAATGTGTTTTATTATATACTTATCAGATGTAAAGTTTTATACACTCAAACAGTCAAACATGTGAGCAGTTTACTGGGTAACCATTCTGCTCGGTAGTGACCTCCCCCTCCGTCCACCAGGTGTCGGCGTCGCTGCCCAAGACTTCGTACTTCAAGATGGTGGACATTTGGCTCATCTTCTGCATCGGCATCACCTTCCTGGTTATAATCTACCACGCGCTTGTCGACAACTTCGCTCACCCGGACCCGTCCACCTCACTTGTAAAGACACAGGTGTTTCAGGTGGTGCCAATGACGGGCAGTGCAGGGCAAACCAAAGCGATAGCCGGAGAGAGAACCAGGAGGATGGTTCTGTTCACCAAGATCACTGTGCCTCTCGTGTTCTTTATATTCAACATTTGTTATTGGGGCTACATTTTTGCAAATTAAAGTGGAGATAAGAGAACGCATTTAATTGACTCGCTTAAATTACAAGAGATAGGTGGCAAGCAAGGTGGTATTTAATATTATCTAAAGCTATTAAGATGCGTTCTCTTTTCCAAAGATACTGTACCAGGAAATAGTTAATGTGCCTCTTAGAATTAGTGCCATAGAGGTCTACCTCCCGCTTTACTTTTACCCACTAACGTGGTTGTCACTCCTAGACCACAATGAGTGACCGCCTCATCCTTACTGCTGCACCGCCAAGTGTGACATTTTCTCCTGTCATTGTTACACCATCTTTTGTAACATGCACAAGAATTGTCGCTACATTGGTCGTCACAGCCCAGGAGCTAGAACAAATGACTCGAAGCTGCCGAATTTTTTTACCTCAGCAGATCTACACGATGTACACAAGCGAGATCTTATGTATTAGATGTAGTTTCAGTATAATAGAAGTGAAGGCTACACTACCACCCTCAACCATATACGTCTATAAAATATAAATATTTCTTTTAATTCTGGATGTCTTTTTATATAATTTATATGAAAGAATTTTTAGTTCGGGATAACAATGAGGAATAGGAGTTTTACGTCTGAATGTTTTTGTGTTTATGTTGCAAGACGTGTCGACATATGCGACGGTGTGAATAGTAGAGTGAATACGATGCAAATAATTAAAAACGTACATAAAAATGTAGACAGATGGCCAGGTTTGCCAAGTAAAAGTAATATACCAAGAGAACAGGACGCAAAATATTCCTAGTGTGTTTTAGATTAAGTGGTGAATAATAAGAGACAGAGAAGCCCGAAGAGGAAATGGAAGGATGAGTTTAGTAAGGGACTTCATGCGTGGAAGTTGAACATCCACGAAGCAGAGGTGGGGGCCAAAGATACTCTACTGAAGATAGGAAAGCTCCAGCTAAAATATATTACCAACTATTACACTCATTCCTGTCTTGAGCATATAGTCTTTGACTGTAGCCAAGACTTCTGGACTCGCAGTTCAACATGCCGGGAAGATCGCATTCCTACGTTTTTTGCAAGAGGAGAAAGGATACACATCCATATTTTCATTTTCACCGGTTTCCAAAGGACAAGGTAGGTAACTTAAGTATTTAACCTCTTGTGAGTTACAGTAAAAATGTGCAATTATATATTGAAATACATTTCGAATCAGGCAGCAGCTTCATCAATCACTCCGACTCTTGATACGAATTTGACAGGTGTCGCAGATGGCACAATGCCATTGACATTCCCAGAATATACGTGAAGAACGGTGAAGAATTGCAAAGAAGTTACGGAGTGTGCCTTTTTCTCTGCATGATTAATAATTAATAATAATATTAACTATTAATGATTAATATTTTTTTTCTAATGTTAATACTGTATTTGCATGTAGCATGTTATATGAAATATTATAATACATGAGTAACCAAAACACAAATTGAATTTTTTGGTTTTGTGTTTGTTTATTTCGGTAAAGAGGTGTATAAGCATCTCGAGGGGCACTACTCAGTTGAGTGTCCTTACTTGGAGCTGGCGGACGCTCGCCCCACAAGGGGTCACAGCTCAAGATTGAAGAAGCCTCAAGTCCAGAAAACCGTGAGGGTAAACTTTTTCGGAGTGAGGGTTGTAAACTCTTGGAACAATCTACCAGAGAGTGTTGTGACGGCACCGAGTGTGAGCTTTTTCAAGACAAGACTTAACCAACACTGGAGCGGGTTCAGGTACATTCAGGAGCCGGTGCATGCCCAGTATTTGCCAACAGTGCGTAACAGAGACGTGACCGATCGCCCGGGCGGCTAGCGAGCCGATCTTTTGGTGAAGAATATAAATGAAAAGAGACGTGACCGATCGCCCAAGCGGCTAACAAGCCGATCAGTGGCAAAGAGGCTTAAAAGTAAAAGTAAAAGTTAAGAGCCAAGAACTCTATAGAAAATAAGGTCATTTGTTCCCCAAATTTATGTAACGACGTGACAGGTGATTCATCACTTACTTTGTTTTGAACTCTTGACCTTTGACATTGTAATTGTCACTTTTAATTAGTATGTAACTTGTACGAGTCGTTTCCTGGACATGAAATTAGCTAAAATACATTTGCATGTTTACCCAGAATACTAAAAATGAGCACAGGCAAGCGCAAAAGAATAACAAACTTTGCTGCATTCTTTATGTACTAGAGTAGACTTTTAGGAGACTTCTTACTTCTTACATTTATTTTATTAATTAGAAAGAAAAAACTACTGACGAATAAAAAATTAAGTAACATGGCAGCTCAGTAGTTACCATGACGACGAACCCGCCTACACTTACATGAAGATGTACAATAAGTGAAATTTACAGCTATCTTAAAATACATTTTATCTTCGATTTTATTTGTAGTTTTAAATTTTAAAATATCTTTATTTATTTTTATATATATTAATATGATTGTTTTATTATAAATGAAATGTGGAAAATAATAAGGTATTTGTGAAATGTGTATACTTGGCAACCCGCATTATGTTTACCAAAAGAGCCCGCGGCAGTTCAGTCGGTGTGTTGTGTGGTGAGGTCTTCAGGTCGTTGTTCTTTGTGAGGAGTGTATCGAGCATACCTCTTCCGCTCTGTCACTCCTTTGCATGACCATCACAACAGAGTAAAGGTGTCTTCTCCATGAGCAAGTTACAGTTTGACGTCACCAAAAAGTGTTTACGTTGCCCAAAACAATATATTTGTTAAACCATACCAAGACAAGGAGTGAGTGTATGGGAAGTCTTCTAATGACAGCTGATCCCTGTTAAGGTTCATTTGAACCCCCAGTCTTAAGTGCATCGTAGTATATTAAGTGAACTGAAGCCACCTTGTGTCTGTTATGATTTAATATAGTTACTGTACGTTGTACTTAAGTGATTTTGGTGCTCGTGAATTGTGCTATCGACTAAAGTTAACTTTACGTAGGGATGAACACAACATGCCTCACGTTTTCTAACCGAGTGTGCCCTTCTCCGGAATAAATTAAATACTTTAGAAGCCAGAGGGTACATGACGTTAACTGGTAATAAACATTTACAATAGTTATCAAATTCGAGTGATGTGAATAGGGCAGAGAAATACGATAATTGTGCACTTTCTGGACACCATGGACTGGGCGCGACCCTTCACTGCGTGCTGGCTGGCCATAGCTGTCATCCTGTTTGGGGCTAACTATGGTAAGTAAGTAGTGTAGTGATTGAATAATATTAAAAACATGTCTTTTCGAGTTGCACAATCACACGGGAAGCAGTGAATATGTACAGTATGTTTTTACTTTATCCTCTTTGCCACTGATCGGCTCTAGCCGGTCATTTTTGTTACTGTTGACAACTGGACATGCACATGAAAATGCGCCAGTGTTGGTCAGGTCTGGTCTTCAGTGAGCTCGGTCCTGTCACAACACACTCTCGGAGGTTATTCCAAGAGTTCACATCTTTACTCCAAAAAAGTTACCTGGCAATTTTCTGTACTTGTGGCTTCTTTAACTGGGCTGGTTCTGCTATTTCCAGTCTCCAGATCTGGACACTCGACTGTGTAGTCCTTTGACTCCTTTTAAGTGATAATTAAGTGGAAAATATCAAAATCCATTCCTGAACAATGAGTTCGAGAGGAACTACTCACTGAGCAATATACAGTATACATGAACAGTAATGATAATTTACAGATTTGGTGTAAATTGCATACATTTTGTTCAACCGAGTCTTCTAAATTGACAGACAAATTAACATAAAGTAACGTAAAATAACCCAATAGTTTCATAAAATTATTTGGTTTGTTTGTTTGTTTGAAAAGAGGTGCATGGTATAGCAGTCATCATGGTCTAAAAGAAATCGTTATTTTTAAAATATTTATATTTTGCCCAATAATTGTTAGCACATTAAAGTAATGAATTTCCTTAAAACAACGCGATGGAAAAAATAAGTAAGTATACAATGCAATATTGGCTGGCGTTACTCAGGTTAAAGTGGTACACAGTAAAGGAAGTCCCAATTCAGTCTTAAAAAGAGAAAGCAATTTGGAATTCCCCTAAAGATATGCGGTACAGTAGTAAGTCCCACGTCCCCAGTTAAAATATATATATATTTGGTATGTTGCTAAACATCATTTGAATTAATAAAGTAAGTTGGAGTAAAATCCCCAATTTCCATCCCTGAAGCCATTAGGAGTCATGGTTTACTTGAAATAAGAAAGAAAGGATTGGTTGGTAAGACAAACACTTAAGTCCTCGAGCGTGTTATGTCCCAGTTTTAGCCATGCTGCTATAATAGTTATAATAAACATCTAGCAGATTCACTGAGGCTGGCCTCCCTTTCATATACTGTACAGAGTAAATTTTCCGCCCATAGTCTTAACCAGAGTGGGAGTGGTTTATCGTAGTTGAACAAAATCGTCGGCGTTTGCCAAAATAAAATGCCTAAGTGCCACACTACTCCCTGAAGGGATATATATATATATATATATATATATATATATATATATATATATATATATATATATATATATATATATATATATATATATATATATATATATCGATAAAATCACACGGGAAAAGGGAAACAACGGAGCACCTCAGCTTTCGTCTTTCGTCAAGACATTTTCAGATTTATCTTATCCACGTTTTCATTGTGGATATATATATATAATTGGGGTGTTTATCCGCATCTATTAATACTCATATTGATGAAAATTCTGGGGAAATATTCATTTATTTTTCAATACTTTAGCTTTAAAATTACGAGAAAAATAATTGTTTCTGCAAGTTGAACATTTGGTTAGAAAAGACAAAATTACCAAGAAAGGATCACGATACTATAAATAGTCTTTACTCCCTGTTTCTCATACAGTATATGAATGAAAAAAAAACAGATATTGAGGAAGGCTTATAAGGAGTAGCGATGGGTCACCTGGTCCGTCCACAAGTGCACTTCCGGTAGTTGCTGCTCAACTTATTTTCACACACGCTGCTTGTGGGTCCATCTTTCATTCTTCTTGCATATTGCCTCTTTTGTTTTTTATCCGGAGTTAGTACAGGAGAAAACCGGAGTATGGGAAACATCAGACCTGTGATGTTGGGTAGTGAGGGTTGCACTGGATAACACTCTTAAGTGTGTCCGAGCCATGCAGGAATCGAACCCTTAACGTATTGAGAGATACGCGCGTTACCACTGGCCTTTTGTCGCTTTACGTGTCACACATGCTGTCTCGGGATCCAGGTGTTCTTCAAACAAGTCGTTTACCTGACAATTTTGTCGGCTATCCTTGATCAAATTGGCTAACTGTTTTCCATTGTTTTTTTACCCAGCACTGTCTAGGGTTCTAGGCATTGAGGGAACTGTACAGTATACTTCCACTGCCTACGTGCACCCTTTATCTACAATGTCTAATATATCCATGCTGAACTGTATACCTGCATGGTTTATAAACGTACCTATCCAATTTTAAACCTGTATGACAATATTACTGAATATTATTATTCCTTATAAAGACCCTAGTAGTGGTGCTAGACAATCTATCCCACTCCTCTCGCTATGCTGTTAGTTTCTCGCTAATTAATAATACATCTTCTAGATAACTCCACTCTGTCAGAACCATCTTATAGAAACTCTACATAAAAAATGTGTTGAATTATCCAGAGAAGCTACCATATACATGAACCAAACAGACTTGTTGGCTCCTGAGTTGTTAACGTGGCCCGACTCGTTGCCAGCGGGGGTTTACTGTCTGTTTGGTTGACTGGTTTATACGGCTCCGCCCAGCAGAACAACGGGCACCTGTGGCGGGTTGTAGTGTTTGGTGCAAGAAATATAGAGGATATATCCCTTGGTTTAGTGGTTGACGTTATGTCATCTAGATTCTTTTATATTGTTGCAGATTTATAAATACGGTATCAGTGTATTGGTAGGAATTAGTTAGGTATAAAATGATAATTGCGTGTGAAAAACAAATTGCTAAGCTAGTTTACTCAGCCTTAAATTTAGGGAAACTTTCTGGATTATAGAAACGAAAGCTTTTATTTTTTTCATATGGTAGTTAATATAGGCCTACTCTTAGCCTCGTATGCAATCTTCTTATGTCATTAAAACCTAATAAAAAATAGCTTGTGTCATTGGCTCGAAACTATTGTACAGAAACAGTTGTGCATGAATCAAGTGGTTGGGAGCCCTTTGTTGTAAAATCCACGCCGAATCCGGGTGTTGACTCCTAAAAGTGAAGCGACATTGTCAAATTATGCATTAGGTGGTGGTATTCTAGTAAGGTACAGCAAACAGCATAGGTGCAGTAGATACTTGTGATAGAATGTTAGTTTTATTCCACAAGTTGTATTTTTGTGTAGGTAGGTAGACTCGCAAAACAATCAATATAAACACCGAGTTAAAAAAAATACGCATACGTGATAGTGATAGTTTCATTTCACTGATGGCAGGCTACAACACTTGTAGGAACCCGGGCAGCTTGGTACAATAATCAAGACACGTAGGAGTAGATAAAGTGTACTTTGGAGGCTCAAAGTAAGCGGAAGGCAGCTACATACACGACATGGATTAATGCGTAAGTCATGGCAGTAAATTTTGAAACAAAAAGGATAGTTCCGTACTGTACTAGGAAGGAGAACATTGACAAAGGAAAATGGAAAGGGAGGAATAACAAAAGAGAAGATTGTGGGAGGTGAATATGAATGAAGGGAATACAGTGTATTAATGAAACCTAGGAAAGTGTAATTGCTCATAGGAGCGATTTTGGTTTATGCAGGACAATAAGACTGTAGGGGTATCGAGATATTATTGTTGTCTAGCACTCAGGATGGAAGGAAACTCTAATGTGGTTTTCTTGTATAATATAAGTTATATGATAGACAGTCTGGTGCTGGAGGTGTTGTGTGGTGAGGAGCTGGTCAGTAGAGACGTTCGGTGAGTAGCGTGTTGAAGGAGGTAGATGTGCAGGAGCTTCGTTAGAGAAGATGTTGCCTGTTGCTGGCCTCCTGGTTGAATGAAATGTTAACAGCGTGGAGCTTGCTGGAGGAGATGTTGCTTGTTCAGGAAAATGGGCAGAATGAGAGTTGGTTGGTGAGGAAGCTCAGGGAAGGACAGCTGGTGGGTCGCCATGCTCGCCGGCGGGAGCGAGGACCGCTGCCAGGCAGGCGAGGAGGAGCTAAGGCAGCCAGGCAGCGGCGGAGGAGGAGGTGTTGCTAGTTCAAGAAGAATGGTCAGAATGAATCTCACTGGAGAGACAGAGCTTATATACACCCAGCAGCGGCCGCCAGTCCTCTGAGTCATGTTGGGAAAACCCGAGAAGTAGCCGGTGACTAGTTCCGTTGCTAAGATACGGCGGGCATTGGAATGCGGATACGCTTGGTTGCTAGGGAAGACGGTAACAGGTGGTGGCGTGGCTACGCAGTTGTAAGCAGTTGTAGGGGAGACATCCACTACAATACTCCCCCTCCCCTCCAGGCGGTGTAGGAGACTTGTTGATTGTAGAGTTGCTTAGCACATGTGAGGCAGACCGGGCGGTGCATGCCTCGTGTGAGACAACGGCGATGGCGTGATGAGCCGATCGCTGAAATACAACTGTCTAGATACACACTATCTGTGGGAGAAGGGAGAAAAAGGGTGTGTGGAGGCGATGAATGTTGTGCTTCCCTCACGACAGGTACAGGGTCGTCGGATGCGCCTGCTGGGGTGTGTGTGGGCCTGGATCAGGAGCAGGGGCTGGGTCAGCAGAAGCGGATTAGGGCTCGTGACAGCAGCTGGGTCCACGACAGTAGCAGGGTGCAGGACATTAGCAGGGAGTACCTGAGGGAGAAAAGAGGGTGTGTGGGGGTCCGGATTCAGGAACAGAGGCCGCGTCAGGGGTTATTGCTGGGCTGGGGTCGGCGTCTGAGGCATGACGGGTGTGCTGGGGTCGTCAGAATGTGGTGCGTGAGGCAGGAAGAGGAGCTGGTGTCTGCTTGAAGACTGGGAGCGTGATCAGTGTCTCCTCCATCCTGTGTGAGTGCTAATCTCCGGGAGTCACCATTGTAGGGGTACCGAGATATTAATGTTGTCTAGCACTCAGGATGGAAGGAAACTCTAATGTAGTTTTCTTATATAATATAAGTTATATGATAGACAGTCTGGTGCTGGAGGTGCCGTGTGGTGAGGAGCTGGTCAGTAGAGACGTTCGGTGAGTAGCTTGTTGAAGGAGGTAGATGTGCAGGAGCTTCGTTAGAGAAGATGTTGCCTGTTGCTGGCCTCCTGGTTGAATGAAATGTTAACAGCGTGGAGCTTGCTGGAGGAGGTGTTGCTTGTTCAGGAAAATGGGCAGAATGAGAGTTGGTTGGTGAGGAAGCTCAGAGAAGGACATGCTTTTTGGCGGGAGCGAGGACCGCCAGGCAGGCGAGGAGAAGCGAGGGCCGCCAGGCAGCGGCAGAGGAGGAGGTGTTGCTTGTTCAAGAAGAATGGTCAGAATGAATCTCAATGGAGAGACAGAGCTTATATACCCAGCAGCAGCCGCTATGAGTCATGTTGGGAAAACCCAGAAAGTCGCCGGTGACTGGTTCCGTTGCTAAGATACGGTAACATCTGGTTGGTTGCTAGGGAAGGCGGCACATTGGAATGCGATACACAGTTTGTAGGGGAGACGTCCACTACAAGACCCTTGTCGTTGATGCGATGAGTATAATTCGGTCAAAACCTGTTGAACACAATTCACATATAACAACTGCTGGTATACCAAGACACAGTTTGAATAATACGATCAATATACAGTACATAATTACACTTATTAAAATTATTTAAAGTTCTCGGAGGATTCAACAGTTCACAATCGCACTCAAGTTTTGAGGTCTAGGGTTAGACCAACGAGAACAATTATAATGTCCTGCGGGAAAATGTTGTGGACGAGAATCAAGATGTTGCCTTTACAGTCGAAGGCGATAGACTGTCCCTCAGGCAGTCACACAGCTGCTACCAGCTCCATCTCGCTGAGTAAGCTGTTCTGAGTTCTAAACAGTTTCTTCACTTAACATGTGGCCGGTGCGCACAATTTGTGCGTGGCGATAACAGAAAGTAATTAAGAAAATAAAAAATCTTGTGTGAGAAATGGCTATAAGGTGGTGTGTATAGCCACCTGGAAAATGTCTGGAATTTCTTTTGGTGCCTGGAAAACCTGAAAAATTACAGGAATTTTATTTCTTGTTACCTGCTGTCTACCTTAGGCATAGATACAGATATTATAGACAAGTAATTATAGACAAGGCAATATATAAAGGGTTTTGGTGATAAACGGGCGAAGGAGAGATGAAAAATAATAGGATGGGAAGAAAAATTTATAATGAGATAAATATAGATAATTTGACAGTAAAATAATAATGGAAAGAGAGGAAATGGCAAAAAAAAAAAGAGAGGCGTAACAAGAGGAAGAGAGGAAGTTTGGGTAATGGAGAAAGAATGAAAGAGGATAGAGTGGGTAGCCCAGCCCGGCCACTCACACATCCTGCACAGTGTACGGTATGTGTATTACTTTACGTTCCTCAGCTCAGCGCGTAGCCTGTCCGTTACCTGTGTCGGTCCATCCAACAGACAGCACCCACACCTCCACCTCTTACTTCTAACTCTGTCTCTGCCACCACCTGCATTTATCCCCCTCTTACATCTCAAAAGCACGTACCTCAGACCTCAATACTTTGTTTACATCCAGTACGTGGACATACCTCTTTGCATCTCCACTGTATCTCCAAAGTGTTTGCATCTATTAGTACTGTATTATGTAACCATGCCAATAGCCCGTCCGATACTTCAGTATCGATAGGAATCATTAAGGCATCTGCATACTGTACTCGGGCGATGCGGTACACTCCGCTTCCACAAGCCACCTTCACCTGCTGGGAAATTTATTCGTATTCGTCCTTACGGCAAGTGGTTTTTTTTTTTCGGGAAGTAGCCCACCCGGGCACAGGTCGAACGACCCACAGCGGGGCCTAGGGGCGGAAAAATAAGAACAAAAAGAAATTAAAAATAGAGAAGAAAATGGTTATACTGTGTTAATCTACAACACGAAGATGCCGGAAAACCAGCTTTTTAAAGTGAGACAGGTTATATAAGTATGGAAACAGTGTAATCTGTAGGACTCCACTTTGGTCTTTTCTCTTTGGCCATTTTCAGTCCTTGCTCCATTCTGAATCATAAACCAATGTGCCTACTCACAAGAACATTTTAACCTCAGTTCTACATTATGCTATCATTTAATATTCACGAAACTTTTTGATGCTGTATTTTATTGTTTTGATGACAGTGTTGTACAATGACTTAACATGTCAGCTTGCTAGTCGGTCGGTTTATTCTCTGTAACGACCTTCATTGTTAATGTAGAAGGAACCCGAAGTACAAGACGAAAAACTGTGGTGGTTGATATGGTTACACTGAATACCACCCTTCTTTTATCCGATCCAGAGATCGAACCTGGGATGGAATAGTGAGAGGCACCTTACGATCTTAACGTTGTATGCCGGTATTTTTTTTTTTTTTTTGTATTTGATGCTTCGTATGAATAGTATATTGCGTTTGTGCTTGACGTGATAACTCCAGTTTTAGTGGGCGGTTGGTTTTCAAGTAAGAGAAGGAACGGTTGTGGGGTTTAATTTGTGTTTGTGCTCACACTCAGGATGGGATGGAGGAAGGAAACTCACAATGCGCTTTCTGTATATATATTGTTGTACAGTGCAGTGCTTAGGAGTGACTAGGTGAGGAGAAGCTTGCTCAGAGGTCCTGTAGGCGAGGAGGTTTCTGAGGAAGCTGGGTGGTGAGGAGCTGTGAGAGATATTGCTGGGCCGGTAGCCGAGTGTAGAATGGTTACGAACTAAGGTTACTTTATTGCTCTTACGATTACAGTTATCACCTGACCCTACCCCTATGTTCAATCAACCCCTCCACCAAAGTCAGACAGTCCTTACACCCGTAAGTCACACCCTCTACACCACAAATGAAACTACCTTAACACCCTCTAAATCTGACATCTAGCCAATACAGTGAACTGATCCTTACACCACGAAGTCAAATAACCCCTATGAATTGTTATGCTCCTTTCGTTCTCCCTTCTCCCTCCGGGCCCCATGTTAAAAATGTATCTGATGTTCCTGCTGTTGTTTAACAAAAGTTAATGTGGTCACAGTTATTCCGAACCTGTTTTTTCCAAAATTATTAATGAGGATTGACAAGTTAACATACTGTACTTCTCTTAAATTCCCTGAAACTAGTTAATACTCCAATCATGATATTCCTGGAACCAGTTAATACCCCATCTTAATTTTCCTGGAACCAGGAGACACTCCAGTCAATATTTTCCTGGAACAAAGTAATTCTGATTTAAAGTTTTTTGTTGAATTATTTCTTGCATTCAATTGTTATAGAATTACTGTAATTTGTGTAATGACTTTCCCCCAACATCATTTCAGTACTGGTATAGTACAGGTACTGTATTACCTACAGAAAACTCATATGTGATGCTTTCCTTAACTGAGTTTTTATCATTAGGTAAGTAAGGTCATTTACAATGATTTTGCCTTCCTCACATGTGAATGTTTATCACCTAGAGAACTGCAGGTCATATAATTCAACTTATTTTTCCCAGGCATGTGTGTGTGTCACCTCGACAATTATGTGTCGTCATGCATCCTAAACATCTTGGACGAACACATAGAGGCAACTGCCATCATCAACCACTGCCACTTGCCTCTTGACATAACCTTCCTTATAGCGGTGAGTGACCCCGTGTGTGTGTATGTGTAGCCATTTGTGTTACAAGGCCATGTAATATAAGGTGTTTTAGATGCATGGAATAGCTAATGCGTTAGCTATTCCGTCTGGGCAGACACTTCTGCTGAGTACTGCGCATGACACCTTGAGAGGGAAAAGCAAACACCTTGATCAGGCGTTAGAGTGTGCAGTGCCCGAATAGCTTACAACCAATCAGCGAGTTTCTCCCCTTAAAACAGTGGGTAAATACTCAGACCATGGCCGTTTATGGAGAATGTTTTGATTAATATTGGAGAGTTAGGGGCATGTAAGGCAGTGAAAAATTGTGATATAATAATAAAAATAATTCTATGTACGGTAGTGTATTGGATAGGACCGAAAGCAAAGCGTATGGCGTAAATGAATTGAAAAGGATTGCACCTAGTTGAAACCTGTTTTGGCTCCGCCCGTTTTTAAGTGGGCGCTGTCCGATTTCATTAGTCGTCAGTGACTTTGGTGTAACAATATTGATAATTACTCGAATATAATTGAAACCTTAATATCATTATTCTTAAGATACTTTAAAAAAGGGTGAACAAGTTGAATACAGTTTTGTAAGTTCAAAAATTAAGACTTAAATGAACCTGGAATTCGTCGTATTTCGTTTATAAATATGCGAACACCTAGCCGTGAGAGACAGTAGTGTGGTTTCAGAGTCCGAGAGAAATTACCTTTACAAAGGGCCCAATTTTTTGTCATTCTTATTTGTTGACTGATTGATTTTTCCCGTTTTGTCTTTTTTTCCATAATTTTTTTCACGGTTTCTTTCTGTATTGTGTCCAAATAACAGTTCTCCCAATTTTATTTTTTCTGAAGACTGTTGTACAACAGGTATATCCAAGATGCGGTACAATGTCGTACACTAATACTGACACGTTCCTGGATAAGAGAGAGGAGTTTGAAACACCACTGAAAGTACACCAACCCGACATAGTAGGACTTGTAGAACTGTTGTACAAGAACAGGAGAATTGACCCAAAGGAGTGGGAGTTCAGTATTGAAGGATATGACTTATTTTTTAACCTTTCTCAAGAAACTTGCAAGAGGGGTGTGATTATCTATGCTAGGCAAGACCTTAGAGCCAACCAGGTGAGGGTACAGGGAGAGGATGTTTTTGAAGAGTCCAAGTGGTGTGAAATTAAATTAAAGGGAAGAGACTTCCTTATTGTCGAGTGTATCTACAGATCCCCAAACTGTAGCTTACCAAACCAAAGGAACTTGAGAGCTTTTATAGACAATGCAGCGAGGCCCAACCCTAGCCCCATCCTTATCATGGGGGACTTTAACTATGGCAACATCGACTGGAGAAACGAGTTCACGCCAAATAACTTAAATAACCCTTCTACTCTTTTTGTAGAAACTCTGAGAGATAATTTTCTGTTCCAACATGTTAAAGACCCGACACATTACAGAGGGAAGCAAACACCCAAGCCACTGGACCTCTTCATAATAAACAAGGAGGGTATGGTGGCCAAACTGGAACATCTAGCCCCACTTGGCACCAGTCACCATGTAATGTTGTCCTTCAAATTTAACTGTTAATTAAGTCACGACAAAACCAGGCCAAGATGCAAATATTTCAAGGGAAATTAAGACAGGATGAGGGAGGAGATGAGGGGTTTCCACTGGCCTGACTCATTAAGGTATAAGAACACAGACACTATGCTGAATATCATAACTAGTAAAGTGAACCATTTGATCGAGAAATATATACCCAAGTCCACACCCAGTGCCTCTTGGAATACAAGGAGACCCCTACACATAACCATGCGATGGTTAGGTCAAACGATGAGCAGGACAGGAGGGTGTATGTAAGAGCCAAGAACCAAGCAAAGTCAGAGTATAGAAAGGCTGAAAAGGAGTTCCAGAGGCTGGTTGCAAGCGAGGTCAAGTCAAACCCAAAGACGTTTTACCGCTATGCAAAGTCAAAATTAAAAATACGAGTAGGAGTATCGGACCTGAGGCTTGAAGATGTTAGTTATGCAGATTCTGACCAGGACAAAGCTGAGGCATTGAACAGCTTCTTTTCTTCGGTGTTCACAAGAGAGGATGCGATTAATTTTCCTACATTTGAGGACGTATGGTTCGACATGGCACTGACCCACATTGTTTTCACAGAAGAGGTTATAAGAAATAAACTGTCTAAGTTAAAGGTTCATAAGAGTCCCGGCCCTGACATGGTGCATCTCAGAGTGCTAAGAGAGTTGTGCACCGAGCTTGCTGAGCCCCTGAAGATCCTGTTGTGTAAATGCCTGGATCAGCAAAAGGTCCCCAGTGATTGGAAAATGGCTTATGCGAGTCCTATCTTCAAGATGGGCGATCGTCACTCCACGAATAACAATAGACTGGTGAGCCTAACCATCATAGTATGTAAGTTACTTGAGAGCATTATAAGAGATGCCGCAATGAAACCTCTACTACGAAACAACCTTGTAAAAGATTGCTAACACGATTTTATGCCGGGGCACTCCTGCTTAGCACAATTACTCAGGGTACTGGATATTTGGACGCAAATTCTGGAACAGGGTGATAATATCAACTTATTTATCTAGATTTTGCTAAGGCTTCTCGACAGTGTACGTCGTGAAAGGCTGAAAATTAAACTGGAAGAGTACGGGATTCGGGGAAATGTCCTAGCCTGGATCAGAGAGTTTCTTCATGCCCGCAAGCAGTGTGTTGTGATTAATGGCATGAAATCATCATGTGTACCGGTCACAAGCGGGGTACCACAGGGCAGTGTTTTGGGCAAGCTGTTGTTTGTTCGCTTCATAAATGACATGCCCGATGCTGTACATTCCTCCATACAAATGTTTGCGGATGATGCCAAGTTATTTCGGGAAATTAAGAACCAAGCAGACTGAAGAGCTGCAGAGATCTTTTGTGAGCTTTAAGAATAGTCGAAGGAATGTCTGCTAAGATTCAATGTCACGGAGTGTAAGAGGATGCACCTGGGATGTACCAACAGTAAGAAGGCATATCATATGTCCCAATGGGATGAAGAAACTGCATTAATTGAGACTGAATGTGAAAAGGACCAAGGTGTGTACGTTGACAATGAGCTGAAGTTCTCGCACCATTGCGAGAAGAAGGTAAATCAGTCAACGAAATTATTAGATCTAATAAGAAGGTCGTTCAGATATCTAGACGGTTTGTCCCTTGTAACAATCTTCAAGAGTGAAGTGCTTCCCCATTTGGAGTACTGTCACCCCGTCTGGTCCCTGAGATATGCTAGGGACTGTCAGTTGTTGAAAATGTCCAAAGGAGGGCCACCAGACTGGTGCCTGCACTACGGCACCACAGCTACCCTGAGAGATTCGAGCACCTGAAATTGCCTAGCTTATATTGCAAACGGACAAGGGGAGGCTTAATTGAGTTGTGTAAGCATCTCAAAGGGCACTACTCAGTCGAGTGCCCTGACCTGGAGCTGGCAGACGCTCGCCCCACAAGGGGTCACAGCTCAAGGTTGAAGAAGCCGTAGGCCCAGAAAACTGCGAGGGGTAACTTTTTAGGAGTGAGAGCTGTGAATTCTTGGAACAATCTTCCAGAGAGTGTTGTGACTGCACAGAGCTCTTTCAAGACCAGACTTGACAAGCTCTGGAGCAGGTTCTAATAAATTCAGGAGCCAGTGCATGCCCAGTACTTGCCAACAGTGCGTAACAGAGACGTGACCGATCGCCCAAGCGGCCAATGAGCCAATCAGTGGTGAAAAGGATAAGAGTAAAAGCTAATGCGTGAACTATTCCGTGCATCCAAAACGCCTACAATAAACGCCTATATTTTGATCCTCGAGAAATCTCTAGTCCATGTCTTGCTGGTTCGTCAGCTAGGTTGTTTTAGTGCATGTATTGGGTTAGATCTAATGGTCTCTATCCCTTAATATATAAGTACTGTGCTGTACACTAATCAATATGTGCTGCTTGAATTCCACCACTAAGAGAGTGCTCTCCTTTTATTTTAATAAATAGTTATCATTACTGTACTAGCATGTAACTTGCTGGCCATTGAGGAGTAGCATGCAGGACTTTAGACTTTGTAAACTTGAATGGCATAGTGACAGAAGGGGAAGTTTCATCATCATTTGGTGTCAGAATGTCAGTACCAGTACACTACTTGTATAGATAGCCACTGTACAGTAGTTTTCTTTGGGAAGTTAGTGATATGAGATATTACAGTACAGTACTGTACTGCACATAGGAAAAAAATTAAGTAATTTGTACTGAACTCTTATGTTTCTTTTACAAAGTTTTCATATCCAGAAAACCTTGGAAAATAATTGGATTTTTCCTGGCCTTGAAGTGTTATATGGCTTGATTTATAAATTCAAAGTGGAAGTTAAAAGAAGCTAGTGCACTAATATATTGTATTAAGAGAAATCTAGTCTGTTCCATTTCTTCACTGTGATTACGATAGTGTCCAAATTCTTTGTAGAGTATCCTCGATCATGGTAGATACCAAGTGTGGGTCCTTATTATGGGAATTTTTCTATTTTTGTTAGTGTTTCATTGCACGTAGCACAGAAGTGGCAACCTGATTTCCCTCCTCGTTAGCAAAGTACATGTAACTCCACTTCCTCAGTATTATTTTGGGCATCAAATTTATTTGCTGCTTCATCTTGTGAACAGACTGTTTTCACTGGGGATTCCATCATATTTTTCTGCTCCAATGGCATCACAACAGTTCTCTGTACAGTGCTACTTTGATAATAAAATACTTTGTGTGATTTAAACTGCAAGGATAGGGAAATTTACACCAACTAAAACTTTGTAAAATACTGTATGCTAAAATTTAGAAACATATTTTTTATGGATTTTGAGGCTTTATTTATTGTTTTCCATGTTCATAAGTTCTTATTTTTGAATGCAGTTCATAGCTAAAAGAGAACTTAATATTTTTCTAAATTTTCTTGGATATTATACGTAGTATTTACTCTACAGGTGTTCCTCTACTTAAGAACGTTCAACTTACAAACTTTTAGAGATACAAACATCATCACTGAGGGGGGTTACCTGCCAGAACAGGTGTTTAATATGGATGAGACTGGATTATTTTGAAGAAAATTCCAGATAGAACAAACATTACCTAAGAGGAGAAGAGGGAGCCAGGTTTTAAGGCTGCATTAAAGGATATAGCTGTATTAAATATCCATAATCTTTTCATTTTTTACAATATGTTTGGTATCCACAAGAGTAAAGTTAGACTTACAAACAAGCCTCAGGAATGTAACTTGTTCATAAGTAGAGGAGCACATTTATAGTATTTTCCCCTGTTATATGGTTTCCATATTAGTTTTAGATTAGTCCAGAAAAGATAAATTAATATTTAGACATAGTAAGTTACTGTATATAGTATAAACCTGTAACTTATCAGACACAAGTTGGAAGACGAGAATTTGTGAGGTTGCCAGTTCAGGGCTTTACCACGTTAATTTGTGTTAAGATAATTAGCATACTGTAGTAATCCAGAGCACACTTATATAGGTGAATATACTGTAGTATACTATACTGTATTTGAATGCAGTATAGTACATGTTGTTTATTTAAAACGTTCATTGTCCAATAGGTTTGTACAGGTATTTCAAGGTACAGTATAGTACATGACAGAAGTTAAATAAACCTGTTCTCTATACAGTACAGTATAATTTTTATGATAAATGTTTGGGATTTTATATTTTAGCTTTTGTTTACAGTACCAGTACAAGAACAGTACACGGCACAACTGGAAGTACACATTTGTTACATCAAATCAAAATGAACGAGTACTGATCCCTGGATTGTTACTTCCTGTAGCACCTCATGCACCAGTCTTCCTGTATGCTCGAGTGCCAGAGAGAGAATTCAACATGCATAACTCTTCCTTTGTGGCTATTGAGGTTTGTGATGCTGTTCTAACTATACAGTTTTGCATTAAGTCAATTTCAAAAGAATTGTTCTGCAATGTGAATGATGTATGATCTGAATGTTCTGTGTACAGGTTGACAATCCTTTATCCGAAATCCTTGGGGCCAGAGCCATTTCGGATTTTGGAATTTTTCGGTTTTCAGATTTTTTTTTTTTTTAGCGTACCCGGGCACAAGTCAGTGACCCACATTGGGGCCTGAGTGGCGAAAATATAATAAAAATTATAATAATAATAACAATTCATAGGTCTGGGTCGTGTTTCTCACTTTTGATCTTTTTTTTTCATTCTTGTACTTCTTTATTATTACAGTATTATTATTATTATTATTATTATTATTATTTTATTATTAGTATTATTGTTATTATTATTATTAATTTTATTATTATATTTTATTATTATTATTATTATTATTATTGTTATCATTATTATTTTATTGTGGTGTATTTTTTATTAAAATTTTTATTTGCTATGAACAATTATTATAATTATTATTACTATTACATTTCGCCCCCCAGGCCCCGATGTGGGTCAGTGATCTATGCCCGGGTGGGCTAATCCCTGTTTAAAAAAAATAAATAAATAAAAAAATTGCCCACAATTTTTTTTTCCTCAGTTTTTAGAGCTTTTCGGTTTTTGGAATTTCGGATAAAGGGTTGTCAACCTGTAGTATACTACATACTGTACAGGTACTCCTCGACTTACAACCTACTCGACTTACGACCACCCGGACATATGACCGCTGCAGTCGTATAAAATATTTTTCAAATTACGTATTTTCTAGTACAGAAACGTTTCCGTCCCGTACGACAGCGTGGGCTGGGCTGCCACGTGGTGTACAGCATTACGCCGTAGCCCGCTCAGTTGGTGTTTGGCCATCGTTGGTGTCAGTGATCGCGCTGTGTACTGACAAAATTTTCGTTTGTAATTCCCTTTAAAATGACTGGCAAGCGTAAAAGTGAGAGTTCTGGTGGTGCTCAGGAGAAAAAGAGAGTCAATTACTTTTGAGTTGAAAATGAAAATAATGATGCGATATGAAAATGGAAAAACGGTAGCAACCATTTCACGCATCCTAGGCTTCTCTCACTGTACGATATCAACAATTTTGAAGGACAAGGAACGAATTCGTGAGGTAGTGAAAGGATCAGCACCTATAAAGAGAACAATAAAACGAAAAAGACAAGATCCTCTTCATGAGATGGAAAAATTACTTGTGATGTGGATGGAAGATCAGCTGCAAAAGCGTGTACCCATAAGCCTTCTAACCATACAAGCTGAGGCAAGACGCCTTTTCGAAAGCCTGAAAGAGCAGGCAGGAGATGGTTGCGACCAAACCTTCACAGCAAGTCATGGGTGGTTCCAAAGGTTTAAGAACCGTTACAGTTTGCACACTGTAAAGGTGAGTGGAGAGGCAACAAGTGCTGATGTGGGTGCTGCCGAAGCTTTTAAGGAGGAGCTAGATCGTGTCATTGTGGAGGGAAATTATTTAATGTGGATGAAACTGGCTTATTCTGGAAGTGCATGCCAGAACGGACATACATCCACAAAGAGGCGAAAACCATGCCGGGATGCAAGTCATTCAAAAACAAAATCACACTTCTGTTGGGGGGGAATGTAGCTGGTTTCAAGGTAAAACCCTTCATGATAAATTATTCAGAGAACCCAAGGGCTTTTAAGAACGTCAGCAAGCACACACTGCCAGTGTTTTATCGCGGTAATAAGAAAGCATGGATGACTCTTGCACTGTTTGAGGATTGGTTCCTGAGTTGTTTCATTCCACGAGCCAAGGAGTATTGTCTGCAACAAGGGGTTGCATTTAAGATTTTATTAATTTTAGATAATGCTCCGGTACACCTACCACACCTGGACGACCTGCACCCTGATGCTAAGGTAATCTACATTCCACCTAACACTACCTCTATCATCCAACCCATGGATCAAGGTGCTATTGCTGCTTTTAAAGCATATTATTTACGTACGACCTTCACTCAGGCTGTTGCTGCTACTGAAGGTGAGAAAATGCTCAGAGTTTTGGAACGACTACAACATTTTGAAATGTATAAAGAACATAGCTGCAGCATGGTGTGAGGTTACAGGTCAGTGCATGAATGGAATATGGAAGAAGGTCCTGAAAAGATTGTGAACAGTTTCAAAGGATTTAATGAAGATGAAGCAATTTCTGAGATTAGTAACAAGATAGTGGAGTTGGGTAAACAGCTGGAGTTAGAAATTGATAATGAAGATGTTGAACAGTTGGTTGAAAGTGTAGCAGAAGATCTAAGTAACAAGGATCTTATTGAACTGGATGCACAGAAAATTGCAGAGGAAGAAGAGACAAAATGTAGAAGAAGAACCTGCATCCCCCAAAAAAGTTTTCAGTGAAACAAATGGCAGAGGCATTTGCTACTATTAATAAGGGGATGCAAATGTTTGAAGAAATGGATCAAAATGTTGAGCATTTTGCAAAAGTTGACAGAATGATCCAAGATGCACTTGCTTGCTACAGGGAGATTTACAATGAAAAGAAAAGGCAAACTGTGCAGTCTAAATTGGACAAATATTTTAAGATGTCCCCTACTGCTGTCTCCTCGCTCCCCACCACGTATGCCTCTTCACTCCCTAAAGATGGTCCAATACCTTCAACAAGCAAGTACGTTAGCCTGTCTGAGAAAAGTGAAATTGATGACTCACCCAGCCCTGTCTCCTCCTCCTGCTTCATCCAATTAATGTAGTCTCCATGTTTAATTAAAAAATTATTGAGGCCCCATGTGCATTCAGTGGACTACATTAAAGGTAAATGCACAGTAACACTCTCTTCATTTATCATTATTGATTACTTTTACTGTACTGCATTTCATTTTAGATTTTCTATGTATATAATTTTCGCCTTTTCGACTTACGACCAATTCGACTTACAACCTGGTCGTCGGACCGGAACCCTGTCGTAGGTCGAGGAGAGACTGTATTGGTACGTACGATACTGCATTATTATTACAGTACAGGAGTATTAGCTGTAGTAGATTTATTACTACCCGTACTTAAAAAGTGTAGATAATAAAAAATTGATTTTTGCAGGCATCATTTGTAGCAGAGTTAAGCACAGAAAAGTGGGAAGAAGCAGAGTTCTTGAACCACACTGTGTACATTACATCAACAAACGATTGTCTGTTCAGCAAACAGGGACAAGATCCCATACCTTGGATAATTGGCAAGTACCTGTATAACATTATTGTGTGTGTGTGTATACAGTATATACCATATATAGCAGGGGTGGGCAAAGTGCGGCCCGCGGGCCACATTTGGCCCGCCAAATTATTTCTGTGGCCCGCCACTGCATTTGGCAATCAGAAAAAGAAATTCTTATTAATAACAGAAAGGACAATTTTGGAAGTTGGGTGGACATAGCAGCAATACTGGCTCGTCGCTGTTAACCTGTGGCCCGCGAAGTGTGCCACCATTCATGAAGTGGCCCTCCATCAAAAATAATTGCCCACCCCTGATATATAGTGTACTAATCTCCGTTAGCTAGAATCTTCAATCCCCGTAACTCTCCAACAGATTATTAAAAAAAAATTTTTAAGAGCAATCTGAGAAATTCTGGGATAAATCTCTCCATTCTGGGCAAGGGAACATAATTCTAAGATTGCACTATGTTTCTGATATGAGGACACTTGCTGGGCGCATGGGTGGGTAGTCTCAGAGTGCTCAAAAGCTACAATTGGCCACTACTTCTGTGATGTGGCTGCATGAGATGCGTGTGATCTATGATTGGCTGATGTATTTCACAGCCTATTTGCTCAAACTCCTGCATCATGACACTCTTAGTTCACTTTTGCTGCCATAGTACAAGCTTGTTCACTTGGTCACTGCTGGTTTTGCATACGATCTGTGTTGTGCAGTACTGTACATGTACTATACTCTGTACTATAGTATTTCCATGCTAAGCTGACTCATAAGCCCAGCTCCTCGTCTATAGCTACAAATAGCCGATTGGTTACCCCGAGCGTTTTACCTCCCCCCAGACTGCGCGTATTTATATCGACCTTTTATAATAAATATTAAAAATTTTCTAACATCCTCTCTGAAGTGCTAATGCCTTGAAATAATTTGCCTTTTGATAATCCATATATTTAACATTATTTTAGATGTTGACAGGTCTGCTTACCAATTGTGAACACATTTAGTTAGAATTTTCTGTTAAGCAATCGGCTATTAGAATAGAAGAGGGGCAGGGCCTATGGGCCAGGTTAGTGTGGAAAGTGGTATAGCATATCATCAGCCAAGAATTCCCGTTAAACCAGTGTTGAGAGATAAAAAGTGATTACCTATATTGTACATTCAATAAGTGAAAGTACCATGTGTACAGTACATTACTGTACATATGGTACAGTAATGGACAGAGTGTATGTACAGTATACAGTGCATCACAATCCCTCCTTCATGGAGGGAGAGGAGTGACACTTAGCAACACCTGCTATAGGAGATGGTACAGGACAAAGGCAGGCCATTCTACTGTATATCACCATTTGGCATGCCTACATCAGCTGGTGAGTACAGTACAGTATAGTGTACCCAGTACTATAGTATATTTTGTTTATTTACAATATATTGTATGTATACAGTGGTGTTTGCAGAAATAAATAGAGCTCTGTGTCTGTGCGAGATGTGAAAATTCGTCCCCATACCTGGATATCTCTCAATCCCAAAACAGCTCTGCACCAATTATTCCAGCTAATGGGGATATGACTGGTGTATACATATACTGTATTTTTATTCATGAGTAGAACTTTGTCACTTTACCTCTTATGCCTTTGCCTTTGTATTTCTCCATTCACTTTAAATATCTCCCTTTAAGGTACTTTGTGTGCAAACACATTTTGTCACCAACACGTGTACCTGTATTACAATACGAGTAAAGTTTGTATTAGCTTCACATGGTGGGTGAGCGTGTTCCTACCAAGATTGTCGTACTTATAATTTTCATACAATAATAGTTGATCACTAGGCTAATATCCTCGCCACACAATTGTATTAATCAGAAATATTAAAATGTAAAAATAAGTCCTGTACAGCATATGATCTTTATTTGGGTAATGTTACCATCCTGGGAAACAGGAGGATAATATGTTCCATACACTATATAAAATCCATTTTCGCTTCAGGTGGTTTATTTGCTGTTGCACTGGTTTCTGGTGCTCTAGGAGGTGGCTGCTTTTTGTATCGGAAAAAGAAATTGGCAGTGGATCAACTAGCACTTGTAACAGCTATGGAGGTTGGGCTTCCAGGGGCTCAGCCATATCAGGTTTGCTCTTCTTACCATGTTTATTTCTAGCTGCAATTATTAGCTCCATAAATGCCAGAGCTGAATGACAGAAAATTTTCACCTTGTTCACAGTCAGTTCATGTTGTAGGCTCTTTACAGCATTCCCAGATCATATATGTTGATGACCAGTTCTTGGCTTCCTTACCTATCATAGCATCCCTCATATAGCTTAGTGTAATTTACCGGTAGGTTAAAGGAGTAAGGTAACCTTGAGAATTTATGATTTAAGGGTCATCATAATTAACCTGTGAGATTTCATCATTATTTGTAGAAAGATTGTCATTATTTGTTTTTGTCCGCCTGTTTGTGTGACTAACCATTAAACCATAGTATAAACATACTATTTCTTCACCAATAAATCTCTTTATTCTTAAGAAATAATTGTGGTGTCACAATTTATAGTTTTACCATTTTTATTGGGTATTTATTGGTAGCAATCTCATGGGTCACTTGCTTCCATTCCTTGATCATAGTATGAGATTTTGTACTTCAGTTTGTCTCTTCTCTAGGTAGAGGCTTTATGGAAGAGGATAACTGCATTCTCATACTCACTTGTCATTTATAAAAGACTTTCTTCAAATACTATCACATTAATACGATAAACTAACATTTGATATTCTTTGTTTCATACAGAATAAGAGCTTAATAAAGATTCATATACAGGTTGTACCTCTCTAGTCCAGCAACCTCGGGACCAGACCAGTGCCGGACCATGGAAATTCACCCTTTTCCTGGATAGATAGTGACTTGTGCTTATGCTTGGAAGCACTAGGAACACTTTCTCTGCATCATGGTCTCTTTGAAGGGTTAAATGTCGTATAGTAGCTTCTCAAATTTTGCGAGTTTTTAATTCTTAATGTATTTTATTGGAACACACAAAAAATAAATAAATACAAATTTTGACGGCGGAAACTTGAATTTCGACGGGTTTGAACGGCCCGCCAACGTGCAGACGACGTGCATAATCGTGTAAACAGCGTCATTTCTCTTATGTACAAAAGATTCATTATTGTTTATTACTGAATGTCATTTTTATTGAATTAATGTTTGTGTGCAAAATGAGCAATACAATTCATTAATAATACGTTGAATATTAAAACACACGAGGAAATGACACAGCATTGTTTTCGTTGATTACAAAACCAGTGACTGACTGGTTCTACATATAAAACTGAAGAAAATAAGACCTTGGTTGTAGCTGTAGTAAAATTAATATGTTTGTTTTAAGTAATGTTATTTAATGTTAATAAATGGAATAGAAGTAGCTAATGATAATGGTAAAGAAAAAAGAGAGATCGCGTATGTAAGTGCGCATGCGCACATGTGAAAACATATCGTCATTACTTTACATAAGAATATGAAAGCGACACTTATTTACTGTTCATATATATTTTAATTAATGTTTCTGAATTTGTTTTTATTGAATTAATGTGTGTGTGTGTGCAAAATTAACAATACAATTTATTAATAATACGTGGAATATTAGGAGACGAGACGGCTGCCGGCATTGTTTATGTTAAAGCTTACAAAACCAGTGACTGATTGGTTCTACATATAAAACTGAAGAAAATAAGACCCTGATTTTAGCTGTAGTAAAATTAATGTAAAAAAATTAATATGGTTGTTTGAAGTACCTGTAATGTTATTTAATGTTAATAAATGGAACAATATAAGTAGCTAACCATTAATGGTAAAAAAAAAAGTGAGACTGCGCGTATGTAAGTGCGCACATGTGAAAACATATCGTCATTACTCTACATAAGAATATGAAAGCAACACTTATTTACTGCTCATATATATTGAAGGGTTAAATGTTGTACTCTGTATAGACAAGCAGAGAGAGAGAGAGAGAGCAGCCGAACTGCCGGATGTAAACAAACCTTAATTTCCCGCGGCTTTTTTTTTTAAGGGGATTAGCCCACCCGGGCATAGGTCACTGACCCACATTGGGGCCTGAGGGGCAAAAATTTAATACTCCTGTAATAATAATAATAATTCAGATAAGTAAAAAAAAAAAAAAAAAGCTGCCTATTGGACAAACTAAAATCGTTCCGGACCACGGAATGCCGGACTAGAGATGTACAACCTGTACTATACTGTATTTTCATACAAGAACTTTGCTCATCATCATCATCATCGATGTTTTAAAGCTGTTTCCCATGCTGGCATGGGTTAGCTGTAGTTACTTGATGGCAGCTCTCTCTGTTGCATGATCTCATACAGCCTCTTGTCAGGTTCTTAACTTCTCCCCATTTCGTTGTTGGCTTGCCCCTGGTTCTCCCCTCCACATTAAGACTCCTGCATCTCTTGACCCAATTGGTCTCATCCATTCTCTCCAGATGCCCAAACTATCTCATTCTATCTCTAAGCAAAGCTTTGCCAATACACCCCCAGTACCTGTACTTTCAATATCTTGCCGACTTCTGAGTTCTGAACACTTCCTGCTTTCAGTGTCACATTGCATATTCACCTCACCATACTCATTCCAGTTCATTCAAATCTGCATATATCATCCTCTTTAGCTGCCTATGTTCCATTGCCTTACAATATCACACTCTTGATGTCAGTTGCTTACATCTTTCGTTTTACTCGAAGGAAAGGTCCTCTTGCGCACAATAAAGTCAGCAACTCCCTAAACTTACTCCAGTCACATCTCACTCTTGCAACTGAGCTAACTTTAGCACTCCCCACCCTTTCCACACTCACTGTAGATTATTGAGTTGCTACCAACACCTTTCTTACCGACAGAATATGGCCTTTTTCCACTTTCCACCGCAGATACCTCACCCACGCCACTAATCAATTCTTTTGTTTTTGCCACACTCACTCTCAACCCTTTGACTATTCCTTCCATATCTTAAATTCTCTGCTGTGTCTACATTAATAATTGGTATCAACACCAAGTTATTAGCATCCATCTGTATTATTTAGACATTATAGTTAAATCAAATTCTTAATTTTACGATGTGCATTGTAAAATGCTGTATTTTATCTTGTAGGTGGATGCAGTTGTAGAAAAAAACCCACAAAATATTGAAACTTCAAGTAATGAATCTCCTAAGCCTGAAGACACTAATACAGAAAACATGGATAGCAATAATGAGATGGATGGACAAGCTAAGCAACAGAATTCTGAAGAAGCATCAGAACAACACAGGAAGGGAAAGAAAGGTTTCAAGTTTGGACGTCTAAAAGAAGAGCCTGTCAATTTTTGTAATGGTTCTCCAGGACTTAAGGGTATGGCTGTTGTAATTGGTAATCCAGCATATCAGGAGGAGTCTAAACAAGCACAAGAAGAAGATAAAATCAAAGAAAAAGTCCAAGAACAATCGCTAAATGTTGATCCTTCGGTGGAAGATTCACAGTTTATTGTAGGAAATGGGAAAGTGAATGGCATGTATTCTGAAGGTGACACCCCAGACAGCTCATTAGAGGATAATATATCCATCAACAAACACCAGAAGGTTCCAGAGGAGGAGGAATTATCAATCAATGGACATCCACTTGAGACTGAGGACAGGTAAGATAACTGTACTTGAGTTCTAGAGAGAGTTTGTTTGTCATTCTTAGCAAAAATGGGGGTGCTGGTGGTAGAGTGGTACCGCTCTTGCCTTCGCAAGCGAGATGTCATGGGTTCGATTCCCGGGCCAGTGGAAGTTGTTTGGACATACTTCCTAGCCCCCATTAGTCCCTGTTCACCTAGCAGTAAAGTAGGTACCTGGTGTAAATCGAAGGTTGCGAATTCGTATTCAGGGTCAAGTTGTTGGAGCTTCCAATAACTTAATGACATAAACCATTGACTCTTCAGGCTTCTACGCCCTTAACTCATGAGACATAAAGGCAAGCATGAACTTAGCATGCTTCTCTGTTGGGCACTGTAAATGCTTCTGCGCTTCACCTTACACAAGGATGTAGGGGAGTGCCCAATAAAAAAAAAAAAAAAAAAATTCTTAGCAAGACAGTAGATGTGTATACAGTACTTAATGAATCTACAGTTCTTTATAATGTTTTATACCAGGTAAGTCATATTATATTTCAAGAGCCATAAGAAATTTTGTCATAGTGTTATGTTATTCAGGATTGAGGGTTTTTTTATTGTGCATTTGCCAGTTAGATGTACAGTGGGGTATGCTATAACGAACGGATCCTACTACGAATATTCCTATAACGAACGGTTTTACCTATAAAATTGAGAATGCTATAACGAATGAAACTCCTACAAAGAACATTATTAAAAAAAAATATATATATATATATTTTTTTTTACTAAATTATTGTTTTTTTATTACAAATATTAATGATATTCTTTATTTCAGGGGTTTAGATGCATATTTATGCACTTTTTTACAATTTTTACAATTTTATATTATATTTTTCAGTGTTAAGTGGTTGTATTTGGGAGCCTGGAACGGATTAATCCTATAACGAACGAATGCTATAATGAGCAAGGTTCTAGAACCAATTAGATTCGTTATAGCATACCCCACTGTACAGTACAGGGTACTGTATTATATAATTTGGTGTATAACTTAAGGATTTTCGCACATTATATTTTACATGTTGCTTTCAATAGCATTAGACCTATTGCTTAATACTGTACTACTGTATTTAATAAGGATACCTTTTGTAGTTTAATTAATGATATTTAATGTCAACAGCTTGGATGGCAGTGGTCAGGTTGGCCAGGGTGCACGACGAAAAGTGCGTGGAATGTCTTCAGCCATCACGGGCTCCACTACCATGGTGTCAGCAGAAGTTGGCAACACTAGTGACTCCCAGAAGTGTTTATGAGTTTCTGGTAAAATTATTGTTTGCAAACATGAACTTAAATTTGTAATTGCAATTGTTCTGAAATGTTGCAAATTTAAATTTGAAAGTCATTGATTTTTATCAATCAGATTAACAGTCTAGGACTTAAGTGATAAATTTTATGACGTCTACATCGATAAAGATGCTCATAAGCGAGAAATGAATGGTTATGTCATTACATATAAATAGATTTGTAGACTCTTGGATTGTGTGTGCGTGTACAGTCGCAGGCAAAAGTTTGCTCCCCATTGTTGAAACTGCCTGATGGGAATCAGTCTGTAATTACTTACTGTCATCTGGTGCGAGTGTGTTGTTTTATCTCATTTGGGGTCGATGCTGCTTCAGTTTGGGAGGGAGCGAACTTTTGACTCGGACTGTACTTACACACAGTATATGAGTGCTGCATGTAACTATCTACGTTGAGGCTGACTGGGAACGTTGTGTATTCTAAGAACCCACTACTCCTGGAGGATAGGGACTTTCTCATAGTCTCTCTGTTACTTTTTAGTCCAGATCTGACTAATTTTATTTTACTGATTGTTTTTAAGTGCAGTATTATAGATATCCTTAAACCTGAGAAAAAAGGCTAAGTACTGTCTGTGAAGAAGGAACAAGTATAAACAGAAGCATTGGCTATAGTGCACATTGAAAAAGTAAAGCTGTTCTTCACAGTGGCTAAGTTTAAGGTGTCTCATTGTGTTTTTATTTTTATGAAAAATTAAGTTTTATTTAACCCTTAAGCCCCAGGTTAGGAAGCTGCTGGCAGTACCCCTCACGCGGGGGTAAATTGAGAAAAATCAAAACGTTTCCAAAAATAGTTTTTAACCCTTTTAAATTATAAAAAAAACTATATATTGACCCTCTAGAAACTTCCCTGGCAGCGCTGAGGAAGGGAGGGGGGAGGGATACGAGGCGACAGTGTTGCTTTGACAGCTGAGCTTGTGGTCACCTACGCATTTACGAGCTATTTTTAGCTTGTCTTTTTGTTCGAGATGGCCAATAATGCATGTATTTACTGATCATAATACTTATTTGCTATAAAAAATTAATTTAAAATATTTTATTTATCTTATTTTTCATAAAAAGTGCTTGGCAACTCACGCATTCGGTCGCCAGGCAGTATGGCTGATTTTGTGTTTGGTAGAGCAAGTAATGCATAAAATAATAATAATTCCACAAATGAATACATTTATAAAATAATCATAGCATTATTTTCCAGTAATACTACACTACAATACATCTACACTAATTTGAGCAATACAGTAGAACTTCGATTTAACGCAAGATACATTCCAAGAAAAGTAGTTTTAGACCTAATTCGCGCTAAATTGAAATGTTGTTTCAATGGAAAAATTTTGTTTGGCACTTGAGAGAAACACAAAATACTAATAAGACTTTTATTAACGAGTAAATATGAGAAAAATATATGGTTTAATGATATACAGTCAACCCTCGCTTTACGCGTTTACGCGGTACCCTGCCGAACACGGATTGCTCACTTTCCGCGGTGTGTGTACCCCTTTACGTGGAGAGCGGCGCGAGCAGGGTGCGCACAAGGTCGCCCCAGTCATCAAAACATTACCGAGTTCTTCACCTGCCACCCACCACAGCCTGCCCAAGTCAGTGATAATGATAGTGAGGATATGGACTTTGAGGGGTTTGACAAAGAGGCCCTGCAAGCCTCTGTGGTGGATAGTGATACAATTGATACAAGTGATACAGGTGAGGGCCAATAATCTGCCCTCTGCCTCGGAACCAACCCCCCCATCCCCGTGTGCCCAGCCATCTTTTCTACTCATGTAAGTGTTAAAAAACCTAATATTATTGATATTTCTCTTAATTATTAATAGTGTGTGCATACCATCATAAAATTAAGAAGTTATTTTTACTACAAAGTCGGTATTGTGTCTGAAAAAGTGGAGTTTGGGGGTCGCCCCGGTCTCTATTTCAATTAATCCCATATGTTATGTTGTTCACTTTACGCGGGCCGCCGTGGGTTCAATTGACCGCGTAAAGTGAGGGTTCACTGTATATATGCAGCCGAGTTGAGAGCTGGATGGTGCTGTTACTGCGTAGTACTGTCTGCTGCCTCGGGCCAGTGGCCCTCCCTGACTGAGAGTATACACCCAGATGCACCTCAGCCCATCTCCTAGAATAAACAAAACATTGTTTTGTACAGGCTCTAGTATTATGCTAAAACAAACACTCATAAATCAACACAGTTAAAATTACTGGATGCAAAATGGTCTGTTTACTAGCGATCAGCTGATGGAGAGGCTGGTGGCACGCTCCACTCGCCTCTCGTCTGACTCACTTTCCTCAACTTAGTTTTTAATTACTTTATTCCGGCCCAGCCCCAACTGAGAGTCTACCTAGATGCACCTCAGCCCATCTCCTAGAATAAACAAACACTCATAAATCAACACAGCTAAAATTGGTCTGTTTGTTAGCAATCAGCTGATGGGGAAGGGTGGTGGCGCTGGTGTTTATTCCGAGCAATAAATACTCGGTTTCATAACACACGGTTTCATAAACTCACCTGATGAGGATAATGGACGGAAAGAATGAGGTGATTTTCTTCTATTGCCGAGCCATAATCAGTTGATCTAGCAGACGAGTACGTAGATGCAGCCAGATTCAACGCCTCCACCACTTGCATACTGCGTTCCATGTCAGGGTCATGTTGCAGTGCAGACTGGGTGGCAGAGGTGACGTTCTGCATAAAATCCCTCAGCTTAGGAATTGTCAGTTCCTTCCCCACTGTTTGGGGCTTATCTGTCGATTCCTCTTCTTCCTCGTGTTTTTTCACCATCTCCAAGACTTCTTCAGAAGTGAGAGGATCCTCCATGCTAACAAGCAGTTCAGTCACATCCTCTTCTTGGATTTCTTGAAATCCTGAATCCCCTATCACTTCCTTAACGAGCTTCATAATGGCTTTCACGTCCGTGCCTTCATCAAAGCCCTTGAAATCATGGACTACCTCATGCCTCAGATGATGCCACACTCCATTTAGTGAAGTTTCTGGCACACTTTTCCATGCATGTGTGATGTTAGTTATCGCATCTTTGAAGGTGTAGCTCTTCCAAAATGTTGCTGCAGTCATATTGTTGTCCTTGTTCATAGCTTCAGCCATTTACCTCATAGTATTCTTGAGATAATAACTCTTGAACATGGCAATAACACCTTGATCTAGTGGCTGAGTAAGTGAAGTCACCTTAGGAGGGAAGAAGGTCAAGTTTACATCATTATTCACACTGCACAGGTGTTTGGACTGGCTAGATGTGTTGTCCAAACCGCCTTGTTGCTAGGTTCAAGTGGCATGGCTGATGTACCACTCATCGAAAATATCAGAAGTCATCCACGCCTTCTTGTTTGATCGCCAAGGCACGGTTTAGCCGAGTGGTGGATGACGAGGGGCTTCATTTAGCGGTGCCTGATGCATTCGCCATGAGGAGAATCATCAGTCTGTCCTTGCTGACCTTAAACCCTGGTGCTTTTTCTTCACTCTTCATTAGATAGGTTTTCTTTGGCATTCTTTTCCAATACAGTCCAGTTTCATCACAATTCCACACTTGGCAAGGAAAATAACCATTTTCTAACACTATATCCTTCATAACTTTCTTCATATCCTCGGCCGCCTCCGCTTCGGCAGATGCAGCTTCACCTGAAAATGTCACATTCCGTAGCCCGGTCCTTTTGATAAATTTGTACAGCCAACCTGTACTTGCTGTGAACTTACTGTCTTTGATGGACTTCCCTTCCTTTTCAAGTATCCGAGACTGTATTTCAGAGGCTTGGTTTTGCAGCATGGGGCCAGTGAGAGGAAGTTTTCTGCGCTGCATGTCTTCTACCCATAACTTAAGTGCTTCTTCCATCTCGCCATACATAACACTCTTCAGGCAGAGTTTACCCTTGGTAACATCTGGTGAAGCATAGGCTGCTCTAATTTTCTTCTCGTTGAGCTTTATAGTGCAGACAGAGCTTTCCGACAGTCCAAACTGACGTCCCACACTTGAAGCACCATTTCCACACTGCAGTGCTTCCAGCACCTAGATTTTTCGGCTCCAGTGTAATTGCTTGCCTTGATTTCTTGGCCTGTGGGGTAGTTAATGATGTAGTAGCTGGCCTCTTGGACATAATGGTGATGGTTGATACACGTGGTAGAAGAGATAGTGTCACACAGTAAGTCCGTTCATGGGGAGCATCAGCACGAGAACTGAGGATGTGGGCAGCAGTGTAGCGTGTCCAGAGAAGCGTCTGGTGGGAAAGATTAGGCGCGAAATTTAAAGGTGGCGGGCAGCCGTGTAGCGTGTCCAGAGACGCGTCTGGTGGGAAACATTAGGCGCGAAATTTAAAATATGATGCGCCTTGATTGACTCGCCAAGAAAATAGGAAAGATTCACTGTAAATAAAACCGTGTCCTTAATTGTGGGTGTTGCTTTAAATCAATAATATTAAATCGATTCGCGTTAAATTGACGTTCTACTGTATTACTTTGATACAACATGATAAAATGGACAAACAATGGAAATGAAACAAACAAACGTAGGTAATTACATTCAGGAAGCTTCACTGTGGCATGCTAGTCGGGTATCTTAGTATGTCATCTGGGGCGTAAGGGTTAAAACAACTTTAGTTACATCATGGCAGTCATGAAATTACAGTACACTTATGCCAAAAAGGCTTAATACAATGTAATGTGGCCTACTAAAGTTAGAATACATAATCTTGTTTACCACCTATACTGTAAACAGTACAGTATGTATATTTTTACTGCACCACAACTCGGATGCACAAAAAAAAATGACTGGTTAAACAAGACATCGGTCAGTACTGTATGCTTTCTGCATAAGCATATTTTTATAACCACTATTCTGATATCTCCATCATATTAAGCCCCTTATTTTACTTGAAATATCAGTGTACCTCATTGAAGGATATGACATGACAAAACAGATGATGGAACTACAGTATGTATTTATAAAGATGTTTTGAAGTAAACTCTTTGGTAGATATTGTGCAGAATTAAGCTACAGTTCCTGTGTATGGTAATGTTCCTTCACCATATGATGAAATTCCTGTTTTTATTCAAGTACTATGTACTGTACAGACATTTCCCAGGTTATGGACAGGTCTGTATTTTTATATATGTTAGTCTGATATGTGTACAGTATTATGCATATTTTTATTAAATTTACAAGTGGGTATTTTCATTTTGTTTTAAATACTAAGGTTAATACCGTTAAGTCAAATAATTTGTGTTTATCACATTTTCTGAGACAAGAATGAGGAGGCTTATCAATCCAAAATGAGAAAATTGTAACGATTACAGGTGCGAGTCCATTTGTTCAAGTTCAAGCCAGAACATTATTACAGAAACTTAAGAACAATATAAAGCTTTACAAACGTTATCACAGTTCAGTGTTTCAATTAAAGCCTTTTTGCCTGGTATTCATATGAAGAACTTTTTTGTGAATCTGAAAGCAATTATTCATGGAGAGTTAAAAATTATACCTACCGTACATTAATAATCTGATGAACTGTACCAACCAAAAACCTTAATGTAGGTAAATTAAATTTCTCCTGAATGTTTAGTTTAAGCAGAAGCTTCTAAGTGCAATAAATTATTAAGCAGTACTTACACTGTGCAGTGGATAAATTATTAAAATACAGTACTCCACCTCTAGCATACGGTCATTGGTTTGCACACAGAGCAGCCCCAACCCACCCAGTTTTATAGTTGGGGAAGTGAAGGTGGCCGAGTACAGTGGCAGCCACAGTGCCTCCTGTACCAAAACCTTCATCTTCAATGCACTGTAAGATATCTGCATTGCCCTTAATAGGCCTCTGGATTTCACTTTGCAACAAATATGCTCGGAGAGGATACAGGTACCTGGTACAGAAAACTGTATTGTTATTACCGTATTACTAAAAAATATAATCGTACACTTATACCAGTATCTAATATCTATAATGCTCTTAAGTCTGGTTGGCAGTTTTCACCATTAGCCCCTTCACTAAGGGGATGCCACTTTCAATATTTTATTTGCCTAACACCTCATGAATTTCTAAAATATGAAAACAATGACAAGGGCCAGTGTTTCAAAATATGTCTAAAATTTTACCCACATCAGATGTAACTGTTAATGCCCTCCTCAAGACAAACTACTGTACTGTGCTGTACTAACATTATAGCAGAATTGTTGAGCATAGTTAAAAAATCAAACAGTCAAATGCTGCAGTGCCATCAAATAACAAGTACAGTACAGTACAGTAGTCCTTTGCAAACCACAGATTTCAGGTATCCACGGTTTTTACTCTACAGTATACCATTTCACTAACTGCGGCATTGAATTTTTAGTATTCATTGGTTTAGCGCAGCGTCATTTTCCCTTCGTATTCCATTACATTCATTCGCACAACACGCACCATCCCGCCACACACAGTGTTGTAATCTTGAACCATGCAGACATATTTTATTGCTCCGTACACTGGATATTGATTACATATTTTCTAAAGTAATAATATTGATTTTG